TATATATATATATATATATATATATATATTGAAATAATGAAGTATGCATAATATATATATATATATATATATATATATATATATATATATATATATATATATATGTATATATATGTCCGAGATTCCGATTATATATAATATATATATATATTATATATAATCGGAATCTCGGAAAGCTCCAGCGATTTTCATGAAATTTCGTATGTGCGTAGATTCGGGGGTGAAAAATCTATCTAGCTAGGTTTCATTTTTAGAAAATGTCCTTTTATCCCTGTTTTCAGGGAATGAAAAATATCATTCGAATACGACGGTAAATTTCGCCACAAAAAAAATATTATAATAGCTCGGTCGGTAATCGGGCGGCCCCGAAACAGAAGGCCGTGGTTCATGTCACGATCACTTACACATTTATTTTTTACTTTTTTTTCGATTCCTGATCATTGCTTTCTTTATTTTTAATTTTTTGTCGATTTGTTATTTTGTTATATTTTCCTTTTTTTTAAAGTTCTTTTTGTGAAAAAAAACAGTTCACATTTTCTTATTATTACGTCGGTAAGATCGAAAAATATTATGCATATTTCATTACTCAGTAATTTGTATCTAAATGTACTTTCCAAAACACACGATTTACCAAAAAAAAAAACAAACCAAGCAAAGCTCGGTCCTCCGGGTACTATAAACATAAATTTCACCTGGACAAACATCCAGATGTGAAACAACTATCTGTGGGTCACACGAATAGTTGTTCCGTGTGGGAATCGAACCCACGACCCCCGACGCTAACGCCAATACCTTGGCAACTGCGCCACGGAGTCATCACATTATCTATGTAATTTTTTTAAAAGTATGTAGACAACTTTTGTCGGTCTAAGTGTAGCCTAAGATGCGTACCTATATCTAAAGAGTTAGTTTTTTTTATAGTCTGTGAGTGGTATTTTAAGGTGATTATGAATTTATTTGCATGATTTAAATTTTGATATTGTTACATGAACTTTACGATAAATTGTATATTATATAATTTATCGTAAAGATATACCATAAAGCTTACGTTGTTGAATATTGGTATATCACCTTCCTTATAGGAATCTAAAACCGACCTTCCATTATAGGAATAGATACAATTATATCCCCCGTCTTTATAGATTCCTATAATCTGAAAATTAACTAAGGTGATTCCGAATAAATATTGTTACAAATGTTTCAGTTTACCTTGAATATTATTTTTCGTAAGGAAATAGTAAGTTACATAATTAAAATTGCTAATAATTGAAATTATAAAAATTATTTTTTTTACTGTGGTAGGGCCACGTAACAGTTTTGGTTGTTGCACAAATGGGCAGGTCTGTCTGGGTAAGTACTCGTGGTACTTACCCAGACGGACCTGCCCTCACAGAAAAATCCGCGCGAAGTGGAAGTATCATGCTTCTGCTTTTGGTCTGTTGAGTGAATTAGCCAGAGCCCATTTTATTAAAAGGCAGCAACAAATGTGCAACCCCTACGGTACCCCCATTTACACAAATGTCCATTGGCGGCGGTTATAAGGTTCTCACATAAAAAAAGGAAACCAATAATAGTTTTAATAATTATAATCAATAATAATTGCTCATAAGCTATTGCACCATATACAGATTAACCGTACATAATGTGCATTAACGTCTGCATCTGCATTACATTGATAATAGTACTTAAATGAATTATTTTTGGAAAGAGGGAAAAGTGAAAAATATATTTAGATTGCACTTTTAAAAGCAAATTTTGTTAGTCTCGTTTACAATGCGTGCAATGTGTACAAAACTCTTATGAGAGGCGTGTAAGCTGGGCGTACATAAATAGTCACCTAGCACGCCGACGTTGAAATTAACTGACGATTTAGGCGTTCCCGTTACCTTTTTTTATTTATTTTGTTTTATCGCGCTTATATTAAATTTACATTTGCAACATTTCGATTATTTCGAATCGCACAATTGTCATGTGTCTTGTATACGTCAGGCACATCTTTTGTAAGCACAAAGCTTTATAGAACTAATATATATACGTACGTTTGAGGGATAGAGGGGAGGAATATTTTTAATTAATTCAATAACCTTTAGTACAAATAATTACAAAAATATAGATAATATATATAGAGATATATTTTATAAAAAAAAATTACGGGTTGCACTCCGGGAGTGCCGACAGACGTGAAAACTTATAAGGCGCGTTAGACATTTTTTAGATGGGTACTAGGGTTATTGGGTTATGAATTGCATTTTATTTATGAATTGCATTTTATTTATGAATTGTATTTTATTAATTATTAGAAACTTTAAAATACATTTAATATTCTTTTATGAATCGTCGTTAACAATTACGACAACTCTTGTATCATCATCATTATCATTAAAATTATTACAATCTAAAATAGAAATTATAGTTTCATGGTAACTAAAATAGGAAATAAACATTTTTGATTCGAAATTATTTAAATATCTCGTGAATACCGCATCAATTGTGCTTTTTTATCTTGTTGTGGTAATATTGCGTTGATTGGACGTAGTAAAATCAAATTCTCTATTCAAAAAATCAGTTAAACACTTAGTGAGATTTTATCTCATCTAAAAATATGCGTACCGCGCTTAAAGAAGTTTTCACTTCAAAAATCAGTTTCGTACATTCAGTCCATCCATGGCCCCAGTGTGGATTAGGGTACTAGATACAAGAATTTAAATAATTTTAAAATAAAGTGCCTTCAACTCTGCTATTGCTTGAGTTTAAACCGTATTCACGGCCACTGAGCTACTATGACTTTATTTATTATTTCCTCAAATAAGTATTACCAATGATGGTATACCATCGTCCCTTGCGTAGTGCGTAGGTATCGGGACTTCGATTTCAAACCGAGGCAATAACTTTGATAGCTAAATGATAGGTAATATTTATATTACCTATACTTTAATAAATTAATTAAAGCTCTGTCATAATTAATGGTTCTGGCGGTTACCCGTCAAGTTCCTAAACCAGCTTATATTCCTTATGTAAAATACGTTTGGCTGAAATAGAAATGCGATAATAAAAACCTTATTTTTCAAATAAAAACAACGCAGTCGGACAAGTTCAATGTTGCTTCAATTTGTTTTGTGGTCGCTTTACAAGTTGAAGATACAATGTTCTACGACTATGAATATATTTACGTCACAAAACGATGGCCGATGCAAGTTAAATAACGATAAATAGAATATTTCTCCGCAAAGTCACGACAAGAGCGTTATTTCAAAATGTAATTATCGGTTTATTTTCCATTAAAATAGGCAGCGGTCGTAACGATTTTCCTTATATTGTGATACCTTCGCATTTAGAGATAACCCTCTTTCGTGTTTTCAAGTATCTTTAGTCTGTTATCATTTATCGTGGTGAAAAGTGCTGTTTCTTAGTCATTCGATGTTTAATTTTACTTAAAAATATATCCGAAGTGTTTGCAAGTAAAAAAATAATGTAGTTTCTATATTTAATGAGGTTATCATTCTCTAGGTTTTATACTATAACTATAATGACATTATAGTTCTTATATTACGAGAAAAAACATTACTAAATGAAACTATGTATTCGGATTTATCGCGTTTTTTCTATTTTTATTTCCCCATGTTTCGAACCCTTTTTTTTTAGTTTTGTCCCCCTTAACCCTTTCAATAAATACCATTAGTGGACCACGAAGGAACTAAGTAATGGTGCTTATAATGCTGTAAATTAAAAAAAGATAATATTGCTGTAGGAAAAATTCGAGCTAAATTAAGAGTAGATCAGGCTAACCGTGATAAATGTTGTGAGCTTGATCGGAGTATGTGGTTTTTACGCACGATAATAAACTTAATGTCCGAATAGTTTTTTGTTATTGCTGCACGCGATTTTCGTTCGTTGATCCGCAAACATTGATCATCTTAGTGTTATCAATTTTTGTTATTTGTTGAAACGAATTTATCATTAAAGTCAAATATTATGCAACTGAATTTTAAAACAGTTATCACCAACTGATTGAGATGAAATTTTGCACACACGTTTGGTTTGGATGCCAATGCATGGCAAGTTAAGTGACGTAGTTCCAAATCCAATATAGATGATAGCCGAAGATAGCGGATTAGTTATTGTTTGTGTACTCCCATGATATGAGTCTAATCAAAGGGTTTGCTGAGAAGAATACGAATACGTTCATAACATTTATGAGAACGAGTATTTTGTGATTTAAAAACTTGTCGCAATTTTCTTAAGTGTCTATGTATTAATAAGTAACTTTTGCGACTTTATCCCCGTTAAAAGTTTGAATATGTACGTATTTGTTAACCGCATGTTGTACATAAGCGGTGTGTTTTAATAGTATCTATGTGAAAAGTGTTTTAAATTTTCAACTTTTAAATATCGTTTCCGGCTACCATGTCCGTGGAAAAAAAATGCTGTGATAGTTTTTCTAAAGTTTTAGGTTAATTTTAACTGATAACAAGAATGAATTAACGACATTTTTTGGACACAGAAATTTTTTCCTAGGATAAGAAATTATGTTTTTAACCGAAGCAACACATAACGGTTAAGTTTGACATATGAATGATTCCGTGTTAATAAAATATTTGCTAATGTCGGTATTTTTACACTTGAGGCGGGGACTAATATCGCTTTAGGCAATATTGAAGACAAACTAGTTTTAAAATTAAAGCCGAATCGGTGACACGTTCTGTAGTGGTTTTTATTAATTTTAACAGTGAAATTTCACAAAATCGCCGTATACATTATGCAAAATGAAATTTGCAGTCTTATGTATTGCCATGCTGTTTGGAAAATAAACAAAGAAAATTGAATTAGCTAATCTGAAAATGAACCGAAAGCTTAAATCAGAGCTCATTTAAAATTGTTATCTATGGTTCTTTTAAAGTTTTAGTGAAATTGACTGCATGGATGTGACTTTTAAATTGAATCAAACGGATTTGTTTATAAAACTATACTGAAGAATCGCAGGTCTAGTAATTACATTCAAGATGATACCTGAGATCTGGCAGCAAAACAGGCTTTGCGACCAACTCCTAAGTAGATATGGTAATTTATTTACATATTAATATTAAAGTTCTTGACAGTATTATTTATGGTTTGGACACAATTTTTGCTACGAATAATTTCAATAACACCTGTGCCAATAATCTGTTTCGACGTTCCATACATCCGCTAAATTTTATTAAAATTCCTAAAAATTGCCACTTGGTCTTTGGTTAGCGGGTAAGTAAACGTGTACCAATAATTTATTCAATTTGATAAAAAATATTAACGTTTGCAGGTAAAATATTTTTTTAAAATTTCCAAGTTAGTTTTAAGATTCCGAGGGCTGAATTTGAATTGTACATTTTAAATTCCCGAGGCAGGCAGGTTTCCGATATTTTAAAAAAACCATAATGTTTTAGAAGAACTAAAAATTTCATTGCAAACTTTGGTTACTTTCTTAGAATCCGTCACGGGTTTATTTTTTCGACCGCGGTTATACAAATAGGTCTCCAATGAATTTTCATCATAGAACGTGATATCGCCTAACGGTCCGCAACCGTACTTGCGGCATGGAATGTGTTTTTTTTACGTACGTACGTAGAAAACCAAAGTTTTTATGAAATCGTTAACGTTCCATTTGAAAAGACTTGTCTCTTATTTAAGTTACAATGTTCGAATATACGACAATGAGTTGGTCAGGTGCATAATGCTTTCCTGCTTCCATTTCAGATCCCTTCACGTTGGAAGCCTACAAGTCGGAGATGGGGTTTGGCGGTGGGAATTTCTTCCTTTTGGCGTACTGCCTCGCGTGCTGCTACCCTGGTTTGGGCGCAAGCAGCCAGCTGCGAGTCGTGAGGCAATGGGCCGAGTTGGACTTCGTGTTCCCCAGCGAGGAGGCGAAGCAGTCAGCCATCGAGAAGAATTACTACATACCCGGCAGCTCCGTTCCGATAGACGTCGATGTGCAACACAGGCAAGGCGAGTTCGCAAGTACCCGTTATATTACTATTTCTAGGTCCCTACTGATATGTTCAATGTCAGTTTTCATACTAAAATCGTTATTGACTGATGAATATTTAATTACCTCATTTTTGTGCTCCGTAGACGGTATTCAAGCTATACAAGGCTTCAGAGTTTGTTAATATTTTGTTTATTTATATGTTAATCAACCGCCATCGTGGGCTCACGTTTCAAGGACTATTAGAAGTAGACGGTTTCGCGATAAAATAAAGTGTCTTTTATCTTTATATCAATTCAATCGACTAATTGTTTAAGTCATCAACTTTGCAAAGTTAATTAATTTTTCCTTACTCCAATCACGACATAATGAGAAAAGGTCGTATAATTATTCGCTATTTCCTCCGGATGGGAGCCAAATCCAAGGCCCTGTGAAGGTGCTCCGATTACTGAGCTACGTGGTAATTCATGGTGGGACTAACTGAACAAGCAGCGTAATAATAAACTCAAAATTGGCCATACCCAATAATAATAATTTGTTAGCGAAGTACATGTACATGTTATGGTGTTAATTAACTGGTTATATCGCTATATCACATATTCGCTAGTAAATCAGATAAAATCTAAAATTTAATTATCGATTAAATGAGTTCAAATAAATACGGGAAACGGTGAAAAACTTTTTAATTACTAAAAAAATCATTAATCCTATAGTTACATTCTTCTGCGAACATTTCGCGTGGTTTCTTCTTAAATAGAGTTATATTTAGTATGTTCATGTCAATCGGAAGATTGTTATATATTTCTGGAACCATGCATAGAGTACTCTTGACTCAGTAGTGTCATGAAACCGTTTGTTCGCAGGCGCGGTGCGTTCGCGAATCTTCATCACGATACCACGCTTCGACGCGGGCCGACCTATAACTTTGGGAACGGTGGACGAGCAAGGCCGCATACACGCGTACCCCGACTACTCTTGGCACGACAACCAAGGCTCGAATTGCGACGGAATGACATCTGTATTCAGGGTTGCCGTAAGTAATGTTTCACTCACACAATTTCGGTCCGACACTGGTATTTTGTCCGACGCTGTCACCACGATAGAAAGAGCTTGACTATTAGTTAAATAAATTGCCCGTCTTCGATTTTTTCCGTTCTTTTTGGTTACTATATTTGAGACACTGTGCTAAAGTGTGCTTTAATGTAAAGTTCCCACACATACAAACAAAACACACCACATCAAAAGCTATTCTAAAATTATACTAATCAAAGTTTTTTTATACAGCGTGTCTTTACAATCGCGACAATAAATGTACACACATATAGAGGATAACTTTTTAAAATTGTGTTAAACATTTACATTCTTTAAATATCAATATTTAAAAAAGTTATTAAATTTTCCAAAACAAAGAATTTTAGAACATCCTTAGGTAAAAAAGCATATGAATGGGTTGAATGAATTTAAAAGAGACAAAACATACTATTAGAAGGAGAGGCTTGTAATGCGACGCTGTGGCAACAAATGAAAAAGTCTCTGAATGTATGAAAGTTGTAGTTGTATACGATGTTACAAATTTTGTTTCTTTTTAAACGGTTTTATTTAGCTCGACCCGTACGGAATTTGTTTGTTTATTTATTTGGGTCAAAATTAGAAATTGAAATTTAAGCACCTTGCCGTTGTCAGATTGATCTGAAATTTGGTACACACATTTAATTTAGATGACAATACAATATTAACAAAAAAAAAAATAACAAAAAAGACCATAAAATAAAACCGTTTAACTTAAAAGTTTTTTAAAGTAATTATTATTTAATTAGTTTGTTTGAAAAATATTTTATTTAATTATGTATTTTTTTAACGTTAATATTTTTTATGATTATTGGCAAGTAACGTTAGACGTGTGTTCATTTATTGTCGCGATGGTAACGACACGCTGTATAAAAATCCCAAAACTAATTTGCTGTGTGAGTACAATTTCCATACAGCAGTCCATCGATATAAAATAAAACTTAAATTATAAACGGAATAAATTTATTGTAATAATAAAACCGAAGATGCTTTACAATACAAGTCGCTATTGTAACGTATAACAGTACCCATAAATTAGCGATATTCTTCCTCTTCAAACTTGTTGTCGGATTTAATTCTCAAGTTATACGTTATCCGAATTTGATATAACTTCACAATACTAACCAACTTGCTTATTTATTAAGACAACAATTTCTATGAAAACGAAAATGTCAATTCTCCCTTTCATTGAAATCGTTGTCTTTGAAATAATTTCAATGTGAAAGTCTCAAAGATGTTGATTAGTACTGAACAAAGATTAAATTCATTCATTTTGATTCACCTTGCCAAAGTGGAATCAAAGAATATATTTAATACGTGGTGATAAGGCTATCATGTTTTAATGGTTATTAAATATAATATTACGCTATTTAAGTGCACACTGTCGTGCAAGATTTTTTGGCTTGCTACATTTTTATTACACTTAGCATTTCATACTTTGACTAACAATTACTGCGAGGAAAGGCTAAGCGGTACTTAAAAAATAAATTGTGTCTTTGGTACTTGTTTTGTTTCTGTTTGCACTTCCCGACGACCTTATGATAGCTTCAAAGTCCTACACGATCACACAAGATGTCACATGTATGAAAATAATTTTCGACATGCCAAGATTGAAACTCATGGATGAAATATGGTTAAAGTGAAATCATTTCAAGTTTCATTCATTCGAGGGGGTCATAGTGAAATTTTCTTTTAATTCTGACTGGCCATGAACACTAGGGCCAGAAAGTCAAAATCGGATACAAATATAAAGGATTAAGAAACCGATTAATTTGAAATTAGTGCTCTCTTCTGTGATTCAAACCTCTCAGATGGCTATCGACTTCCCAGTCACAGGTACCACAACGCTATCTTACAATTATTAGAATACGATTAAATCCCGAATGCATGTTATAAAATATATTTAAATTGATGACTGTATTAATGTTCTCACCGCTAAGCATTATGCTTCAACGTCCAGCCCTTACCCCACCTCGGTGGGCATATCATGTGAAACATGTTGTAAGTGGCTTTCACTGTTTTTATACGACCCGTCGCCTGCCTGACGTCAAACCACATATCAAAAAAACCCATGTGGGAATAGAAAATAATGCGTTTCGAAGGCTAAGGCGAAGCTTAGCAACTGCGCCAGTGAGTCATCCGTCCCATTATTCTTGCAACTCGAAAACGTGACCGGCTTGTGAATTGCAGATTGACGAATGCAACCGGCTGTGGGTGATGGACACGGGAAAGATCGGGGACAAAGAGGAGTGCCCCCCGCAACTCCTGGCGTTCGACCTGAACACCGACGAGCTGATTTACCGGCACAAAGTCAACTCGACCAGCTACGTCGCGTCGTCCCTCTTCATAACACCGGTTAGCACGTCTCAATATTTTTTTGGATAATTTTTTATAGTATTAATTCCTATTCTCATTAGGCCGGAGTTCCTAAAGGCCGGAATCATATAAGAAAATAAAAATTAAAATATTATTCGTTAAATTGACAAAACGCAAAACAAAATGAATATCGATTGGTGGAATTTTCGAAATTATACCTTCATTAAATAGTGATATTGATAGTAGCAGCTGTTGTGTTGGCTCGTCACTTAAATTACAAAGTAGCCTGCGTCGAATAACTTGATTTTAAAATGAATAGTTATATAAAGTATAGTATTGTATCACAAACTCATCCACATCATGTACATGCTATTTGTCACGCTTCCCTCATTTATCCTTTCCATGTGGCCAAACACCAAAGCGTTCAACTTACCTCTTTCAACTTTCCTTACAACATTCTCTTTCAACCTAAACTTTCCTTACTTCACAATTTCGTAACATTTATCTCTGAGTCATACCCGTCACACATGTTAATGAACGCACTTCTGCGACGTTAATTTTTCTGTTTTTTTTTTTTAATTGTCATAATTGCATACTTTTGAAGACGTAGCGTACTGTAAAATATAATATTTGATACACTATGAAAGTTTATGGTAACTACATATTATAATAAAAAATAATGTTTAAAAAGCAATTCAAGGTTAGTCTTTAAAGTTGTTTATGATTACGTTAAATAGTGGAAAAGAACAAGAGAACAAACTTTTCCCAATCACCTGAGTATATTTTTTTAGTAGACCATAAATATGTTATGATACAGAGATCATTTGAACTTGTCAAACAATTCAAATTCCTGTTATATTTTTATTTCTACTGTGAAGCTTTGTAAAATATTATTCGATGCGTGATATTCGCCTAATACAAGTTGTTAACTAGTTATTAATATTTTTACGCGGAATGTTGTTAATAAGTTTTAAAAGTTTCGTGTTATCCTCTTTATATGGAAAACGGAAATGCTAAATAATAGGTGTTTATTAACCCTTTATTTATATATTATTTAAGCACTGATATCTCGTAACAAATTTAAACATTATAGGCGATGAGTTGAATCTCGAAATAAAGACAAGATCATTTTTATTAACGAAAAACAAAACCGACTTCCGACTTCTGTATTCATTTTATAATTGATTTTTAGGAGTTCCCTAAGTATCTCTGGAGCCCAAGATCCGATCCGATCCGATCAGTCGAATTGAGAACCTCCTCCTTTTTTGAAGTCGGTTAAAAAGGCAAACACGTTCAAGGATTTTAGAACCCGGTCCGGACACTTAGAGTGTTTCAAACAAGGGTTCGGTCGATTGTCTTTAATGCGACACGGGGCGGAGAACAGGTGCTGGACGTGAGACGCAACGGCAACGACTGCAGCGACACCTACGCGTACGTAGCGGACGTTTCCGGCTTCGGCTTCCTGGTGGTCGACGTGGCGAACAACCGCTCGTGGCGGGTGACCCACAAGTACACGTTCCCATATCCGTCATGGGGGACGTTCACCATAGCCGGTGCGTTCTTTTTTATATTAAATCAATGAGCTCTTATTTTCTTACCTAAAGAGGAAGAGAGACAGCAGACTGTCGTAATTAAACATCAAAAGCGCAGAATCAGCTGGGTGGAACTTCAAAACTTTGTGCTGTGTCGATAAGTAATAGTTTGACACAGTCCTACTTCTGGTTGAAGACTTTCTCTTAGTAAAGGTTTAAAGGCTAACGAGTTGCCTCAAAACAAATGGTAATTATTTTTGAACAATTGTATTTTCAACTATCTAATAATTTCTTGTATTTACGCGATTACACATTATAAATGAAACTAATTTTACGGATTTATCGCGTTTATTTTTAATTTTAGTTCCCGACGTTTCGAACCCTTTACAGCGTTCATGGTCACGGGACAGGTCTGTCCCGTGACCATGAATGCTCCTAAATCCGTAAAATCAGTAAATCCGTAAAATTAGTTTCATTTTCAACTATCTTTCAACTCTTAGTGTTCCTCAGAAATGCTGGTCCGCTCAAGCAAGCGCCATAAAATACATTGTATTATGATTAAATTATTATTACATAATACATACAAATCATTAACTTTATACAAATTAACAGGCTTATATTAAGACCGAACATAGTATACATCATCTTTTTTTTAGTTACAATGTCACTATAAGAAAAACTAAAGTTGACTACAATAATGCCAAGACCTGTTTTGTTTCTACGCAAGGCTAACGTCTATTAAACCACAGTCTTACGTCAAAGACAATTTGAAGTACACGTGAAGCATCTGCATTTTGTTCGTTTTCCATGAATTAAGATTGAGCAGTTCGATGCTTATAAAAATGATAACATTTGAAACGAACGCTTGACTTATATTGTTATACGTTATGATGTCATATAAATTTGAAAGGATGATCAAACAACGATATAATTTATAAAATAACAAAAAAAAATTACCAAAAAAAGAACCGAATTCAAATAAATGATATACGTAACTATTTACAACGTTACATGCAAAACATTGCATATTCATGCGATAGCAGCAATCGCGGTTGATTTCCTGTCATACTTCGAAAAGTTCCGTTGCTATCTCCGAAAATCATAATCAGATCTATATGAAATTTATATGGGACAATTTCGGAATGAAATCCTTTCGAACAAAAATAATATGCAAGGCCGTCTATATATGACGAAGTTATGCCCGAACATACATAAAAAAGATATAAACATCCGAATTGATAAACTCCTTCTTTTTGAATTCGGAAGTCGGTTAATAAAAACTATTTCTTTCAAGCTCTTATTCTATTCGATAACGGCCCGTAAATTTGTCTGTTCAGGTGAGAGTTTCGACCTGATGGACGGCGTGCTTGGTATGGCGCTGTCACCATATCAGCCAGGAGTGGACCGCTATTTGTACTTCCACGCTCTTGCCTCCAATACTGAAAACGTGGTGCGCACTAGCGTCCTCCGCAATTCATCCTTCATCTCCGACTCTAACGCGCCGCCTAACTCCATCAACGTAAGTTTGAAATAATCTTTTACAATCATTGTCCCAAGCACTGGCATCTGTTGCATAGATGGGCCGACTCTCCGATCGTTATGAGGAATAACAATCTTTTAGAAAGACGGCGTAAAGTTCAATTTTAGCTACATCTTTATGTTTGTTGTAAGTGACTTAACGGGGCCCATCCTCTTGAAAATTAGACACGCAGCAGTTAAGGAGTTTGTTAATGTCCTAGAGTGCCTAAACCACTTCATATTTGAGAATAGATAGCTAGAATGGCACTGGTCTCTGCATTCATTACGGGAAATTCGGTAAAATACCGTTAAAATGATCGAATGTACACCTTCACTCTTTCCACTATCGGATCTATCATTTTCTTGCCGCCACGATTACAATTATGTTGCCGTCTACTATTCTCACCGTTTACCTTTTGATTCGTTTTTACAGACTTTAACAGGCTGTTCTTAATAAATATAATAACCAAGGGACAAGAGTAAAGTAAAGAGACCACCATTTACCATCAGTTGGGATGATGGTGCAGCAGTAACTACCTACATGTTAAAAAGTAAACAACTTCTCAATAATTCGTTATGAAAATAAAATGTCGAACGTTGCATTTACACAGGCGTTCCCGGAGGAGAGGCCGAACCAGTCCGCCGCGGAGGCGATGGACCGCGACGGCATCCTCTACTTCGGCCTCATGGAGCCGCCCAGCATATGGTGCTGGAACTCCGCTACGGAGTACTCGCCGCGGAACTTCCACCAGGTGGCCGTCAACAGGGAGACCCTCCAGTTCGCCAGCGGCATGAAGGTCGTCAACAACCTGAAGGGGCAGCAGGAGCTGTGGGCGCTCACGTGCAGCTTCCAGAAGGTGATGACGGGCTCACTGAGCTCGGACACGGTGAACTTCAGGATTCACGCGGAGAAAATACCGATCATACTGCAGAACTCCCCGTGTGCGGCCCCCCCAAAGGATCAGAGCCACGGCTACCATGCGAAGATAATCACAAAGAAACAGGAGACACATATAATGTACAGATATGGCGCTGTATCATATCTCTAGAAATACGCGCGATGTCGGAACGTTTGCTCAGCATCTTCATGTGGTATAATTGTTGGCCATATTACACATAATTGGCTATCGCTATGTAATTTAAGTATGTACAGTAAATAAATTATTTAAAACATCGTAATTTGTTTAGACAGTAATCCTATTAACGTTTTTAGGTTAATTTAAATTTAAAGTTCAGTTAATTTTGCTTAAATAAATAATATTATTTCAAAAAAATTATAAAATTTCTTAATCATAATTATAGCAATGCACAAAAAAACTTTTTCTTATTTGAATAATTGTCAGCAGCAAGTATAACACATCCGCTTTACGCTGATCTTCAGAGAGTCCTTGGTCATTCACTGGCCTCTGCTGCTGCAGGGCCCCACCACTTTGACACCGCCCAAACACCGTACTACTGTTAAATCCGTGGTAAGAGCCGTGATAGCTCAGTGTCCGGGCGTTCGCCTTTAATTCAATATACTCGAGCAACCTGAGTTCGATCCCCGGTGCCGGCACCAATGAAGTTTTTAACTTTAAGTGCTGACTTATCACGTGCTCCGCGGTGAAGGAAAACATCGTGAGGAAACCTGCATATTTTCGAAATAATAACAAAAAAATATATATTTCGAAAATATGTGAAGTCCGCCAATCCGCAGTGGGGCCGCGTGGTGGACTATGCCCTGATACCCTCTGTATAGAGGAGGCCTTTGCCCAGCAGTGGGACATGTATTGGCTGTTACTTTACTTTTTTTACTTTACTGTTAAATCACTGTACTGTCTAATACTGTAAAAATGGACCAAATATTACTACATATGACCCTTAGATAAAAGCATTAATAACGATCTACTTAAGTATGTTCAATGTACAATCTCGCCCATGATGTTTTTTTTTAAATTTTATTATTTAAAAAATATATTATTTAAAATATAAATGACAGCTTAACTTTATACACACTAAATGTTTTAAAAACGTTCTAAAAAGCAAAGCAGATGTTTAATTTGCATTCAAGTTTAAATCTATCCAATACTATTAACTGCTGAAGTAACAAAGATGGAGCAAATTATTCTTCTGCAAAATTGCTATTTGTAAAACCATAGAAGGTGTTATTTTAAATATCTTATATAAATAATACAAATATCGAATATAAACGAGCTGGTTGATGGATATATAACAAGAACCATCCCAAAAAAAATATACACCGGTGACGTCATTTGTTTATGTGAATATATACCATGGTTGCAAAAATTACAGGTCAAAAGAAACATCGCGATATCGATATAAAATGTTATAGATTTTTAAATAAATCTGTAATATTAATTATAAATTAAAAAAACAGGATTCATTTGTACAAGTTCCAACTTTAAGATATGAATTTAAAATTTTGAAGCACATGAATGCATAAGAAAAAGAATATTTTGCTGTGTGAGTGTTTTTATATTTTTCGCTTTCGTTTTAAACTAAGCTGTCATTTTAATATCTTGAATTGCCCACACTAATCAGTGCAGCATCATGTCGCTATCACCTGCAGAAGGTACACGTATTATTATTATGGTACATTCAGGAACAAGTCGCGTAGTATTGCTAGAACAGTCTTAGTATCTTTACGGTCCAAATAGTACTCATGTGATTTTGACAGACCAATAAGAACACTACAAGATTAGAAAAGGGCCATAGGTCCATAGGCCATGTTGGATAATAATACGAGAAGACGAATTCATCGTGAGCATAATGCTAAGAAATTGATATCTCAAGTCCGAAACAGTCTTAAAGAAATTCACGTCAACAATATGTTCTGACACGATTCTACGCCGACCTGGTGAAACTGATAGCCAGATGATGGTTGGTTCGTTTTGTTTTCCGGTGAAACAAAATTGTACTTACGCATGATGGGAGTCGAATAGTGTATAGTGGGTCATGGCAACGGTAATAATGCATATTTCGTCCATGCGTATGTTCAAAAATTTCGATATGTCCTGCGTGGGTTATGCGTGAAGAATGTTCTAACGTAGATCAATCAACGAAAAATTGATTTACTTACATCATCTTAATGAATATAGTTGGGCACGTGGAAGAACCATTTAATAATTGTCAAAAGTTTGAAGTTTCTTCTTTAAGTTATTAAGAACATCACTGTTACATTTAAATCAAATCAATAGATATTTTTGAATAAGGCGGTCTCAAACGCAACATGAAATTAATAAACAGTTTACTACTTGGTCTATAACTTCTATTCATTTAATTCAATAATTTTACATTAATACGTCATATTGAAATGCTTGGTCTGTTTCTAGCAAAGCTCGTATGTACATAACGAGTGAACCCAGGGCCATGGCTGATGTCAGAGAGTTGCATGAACCACCTTCAGATTTGGCCACTTTCTTCACACGATACTCTTCCTGAAAATAAAATAACAACTTTTGTTAATATATATCGTCACTTCGGTCGATAAAAAAGAAATAACTATCATTTTCACAGATTAAGGAAACCGGTCTAGTGCGAGTCGAACTCGTAGGCCGAGGGTTCCGTACCCATCCATCATACCGCCATAATAAAATTGGTAAATAATCACTACCAATTTTCTCAGGAACGAGTGGACCTAGCAAGTTGAATACCAAATACTGAGGTCTATAGTCCCTATTAGGTGATAAAATAAAGGTCCTGAGTCAACAAGATAAAAAGATATATACAAATTTATATTTTCACGAAGACTTGTTTATTTTTCGGAATTTTTCCTTTATTTGTGCTTTAAATCAGTGGTGACCACGGACAGAGAGACGGGCAAGAGAGTAATCTTATAAGGGTTCCTTATTACATTTTACGGACCCCTAAAAAGTCAAACATGTCTTACTCGGTGCCATTAATATGTGATAAATAAACGCGAAGTCGAACTAAGTTAATGAGAATCAAGTTCAAGCAAAACGTTTCTTATTTCTTTTTTCTTTATTTTTTTTTGTGAAAAACTGGACTCCGGCCACTTCACTCATTATTGTAATTGAGTTATTGTGACCTTTAGCTGATGTTAAAAACGCACAAAATGTATGTATGTGTATAGGTACACATATACACATACATACATTTTGTACATATGTATATAGATATGTAGAGACAAAATATATACCAACGATATTTCTAAATATGTCCTGTACTGTTTATTCATATCATAATAATACGGTTTTTCACATACTACATGTTTTTGTTATTATTTGTCCCAGTAACTGTGGTAGGGCCACGCAACAGTGTTAGTTATTACACGAATGGACAGGCCCGTCCGGATTAGTACCACGACCTGACAGAAGATCGGCGTGAAGTAGAAGTGTTACACTTCTGCGTTTCATCTGGCGAGTGAGGTAGCCGGGGACCAGTTTTTTGAAAGTCGGCAACGCATCTGCAACCCTACAGGTGTTACAAATGTCCATGGGCGGCGGTTATCACTTAACATCAGGTGAACCGTCAGCTCGTTTGCAACTTTATCACATAAAAAAAGTATCGGAGTATTTGCCGCTTACGTCATTTTAAATTGCTATGAATTTTGGAAATATGAAACAAGCAGCTGATTACCTATAGCCCTTAACCAATGGGCGTAACCAATTATCCACGAAATGTTTACTCGGTAAGGACATCGGTTTTCAATATAATTGGACGTTTCATAAGCGTAAAAGAAAGCATGTTTATTTTTAGATGGAATTAATACTTTGTAAATATATAAGTTAGATATTAAACTACGTAAGTAATGTTAATCAATTATCCGTCTATTTGTATTTGATTATCTTACTAAAAGTTATTAAAATCTTTTCGAAAATTTAACTTGTTAGAAAGAAAAGACAAAACAAATATTGAATACCTTAAGGTTAAGTATTAATTGTTGCATCCAGTACCATAAATTATCAATACACTCGTGCGTTTACCTACCTCTCTATCTTTTGTTGCAGGAGAATTAGCAGGGCCCACGAAGCCAGTGAGTTTCAAAAAAGGCTGACGGTCGTCGGCATAGCATCCTTTAGGCTCTTGCCAGGAAAGGATTTTATTCATCCAACGTGGTTTGATAAACTCACCGTAACCTTGGGTAGCGCAGTAGAGAACTAAAAATTAAGAAATGTATAAACACACATTAATGAATCATTTACGTGACCTTTGCATGAACCCCTATACATAGTCTATATTTTCTCTTAATAAGACATTGAGATTTCACGGACTGTTAAATTTCGAGTTCGTTGGCACGATTATACAAAACAGTTTTATCGTTTCATGAAGATATAAAGCGTTAGTCATAAGTGAATATTACATCATTTATTCTATATTTTGATTCCGACAAATTGCAAAAACTGACGTTTATGATAAATACTGGATACGCAAATAATGAAGAAATTAATTACAATCTCAAAGTGATTCATCTCGTTCATGATTTCTTATATTTAAAAGAATACTGCATATATTGTTACATAAAAGAAATTTAAGCATACTTTTGCGTTAAATTTTGCTGTTTTTCTGCTTTATAGTAAACAAGAGTTACTTTACATACTCTGTTGCATAAAAAGGGTCCTCGTTCCCGGAGGATGGTTCCAGGCCTCCAGCGATTTGGTCTCTTTGTAGATTTGAATGCATAGTTTGTAAATGTGCGCGGAGATGTCGACTCCCTCCATGCAGTCGAAGAGCCGCGAAAGTATTGCAGCACGCAGCCTGCTCGTCTGCTGGAAAGCCAGCCCCGACCCTTTCATCACCTGCGCCTGGCACTCTGGCGTTAATTCGCAAGTACCTTCGCTCTGCGTCGTCTGCGACTCCATTGCTGATATAAGCAGCTGCATCGTGCACGCGTCTATAAAACAAATGAAAACGTCGCTTTCCTTTATACCTGAGACGATTAATAACTAATAATCTAATTATTAATCTCTTAAGTAAAGTCGGTTGATTTTATGAAAGTGAAATAAATAAGTCATCTACAGCAGAAATTTAGAATCCGATAGCATTTTAAGTTGATCAGAAGATTCAACAAATCAGACAAAATACCTTCTTTAAATTTTTACATTGTTGTAATTAATGACGCAATTTTTTTCACTCGGCGTTAATTTTGAATAAAGTATTGTATATTCGTTGTGAATATACAATGCATTGTTCAAACTTACTATTTCCTGAACTTAATATAATAAATATTTTCCTATATAAAAGGGCAAATCAAATTTTATGCACTAGACCGACTTTTGTTAAAAGAAATTCTAGATACTGCTCAATATACTAATAATATAAACATTATATTAAGTTTCTAAAAGTAATAATAATATGAAGATATCATTAATAATAAGTCATATCGAAACTTCTATAAGAAACATCTTTAAGCGTAACGTAGTTAACATACTTGTATGCGGTGTTTTTCATAATCATAATGGTACGGACCATAAACCCGTAAGGCGAACGTGTAATTTTGAAGTGAATTGTGTGTAAATCAACTAATGATATATACATGACTACGATGTTGTTATTGATGTATACAGCTATTAAAGAAGCCAATATTACTCAAGACGTGTTATAGTGTTGTAGCAGGCTGCGATGCAATAATACGTTCTCATTGTTCATTTGTTAATTTTTATTTAAAACCATCTAAGAAGAATCCCGATTCTTAATTTGTACTTTTTTTTTTGTAATTTCAAAGCAATTACCACTTATAAAGCTGTCCCAAGGCTGACTTTAAGTATAAATTGCTGTAATTCAAACAATGTCGCAGTACCAACATTACCAATGTCACAGCCTTGTAGTCCCGGGCTCATAGAATAGGACTAAGGTATCTCCCTGTCACCTGTCGTAAAAGACGACTAAAAGGGGACACGAATTGGCAGCAACACGAAGTGGTCTCGAGCTGCTGCAAGATGGCGAGGGAATCGAGGAAAGTTTATCTTTCCCCGAGGGGTGATCACGCGCAGTACCGAGGGGCACTGGTGCGTTCGGTAGAAGATCCCGGAGTCTCTCTCGTTTCGTTCGAGAGTTTTAGTGGGTAATAACCCCACATAGTATCTTTGGAAGATTTCCCCCTGATACCAAAAAAAGTAGCAACATGTTACAACAACAATGTTACTTGGAACGGTAATTTCTTCGGTCTTAAAACAGATATTTTTTTATTTAGCTACTCTGTTAAAAACTCCGTTAGTTAGTTTTGCACGCACTGATTGAATAAATTACATAAGATTTTGCATTATGTCAACTTAAATAACCGGTACAATAATTGAGATAACATAACCATTTTTTTTACTAACGAAAAACAAAACCGATTTCAAATATCTCGCTCTGTATTAATATTATAATTGACTTTCAGGAGTTCCCAAATATCTCCAGAGCCCAAGATCCAATACCAATGACCGCATGGGAAGCACCAGTTTTGAAATAAAAAAAGAATCATCAAAATCGGTTCTCTCAGTCAAAAGTTCTGAGGTAACAAACATAAAAAAATACAGTCGAATTGAGAACCTCCTCCTTTTGAAGTCGGTTGAAAAACAATGAACAATTTTTCGATTTAACGAAAGTCTAGTCAATTTGATTGGTGCTTTATGATCATTTGATAAACATTATATCTAATTGCACACAACACGGTCTGGAGACGGCAGTCTGTACCTACTACACTTACGAAGTCCTCTCATAAACTTAATTAAAACGAATTTCCACTCCCCCGAGGTTTTAATTAATTTTAATGAAACCGATATCAATTTCTTAACTTTGATTCAGGTTTATCGCAAACATATTAAGACAAATAAGTTTCCTGTTAAACACTACACGTGTTTTTGGAACTTTGCACAGCTGTTATACTATTTTCCACGGAATCCGTTTAAATCTAAGGCCCGTATTAGCCACGATTGCATGATTTATCTTCAGACACAGCGAAAACGGGCATTCTTAGCACCCGGTTGTGACCATAAAACCTCATCATGTCGCTTTCACTGCAAATTAAAATGTTCTGTAATAAACTCGTCGTGTCTACTTTACTATTTGCCTCTGAGGGTGGTGACTACATCACCTGGTAATTAACCCTCGTAAGAAACTTGTCATGCAAATGAACGGTTCGCCGTTATGTATGACGCTGTTACATGTCTCTTAAAATCACTTGCTAACTTGCGGTACAATTTTAAATCTGATTTGTTTACATATAAACCTTGCGTAGAAACTCAATTCATTGTCACGTCCGTCAAGGCACACTACACACTTACAAGTGAACATAAAAGTGATGGCGAATTATGTTGAGGGAAAGCGATTTAAGTTGAACGTGTCTTTTCTATATTACTGTGCTAAGCTATCGTATAACAGTTGCGATAAAATACAACTGTCCACAATTATTGACCAAACTTTATTCGTTTACATAAGCTCGTTTATGGGATTCCCCGAGCTCCGAGCACAAACAGATTTTTGCTTCTAAGAAATACAAACACGGAATTGGCGCATGCCGCTAAGAACCCTGCACAAAGAGGAAGAGTATTATTAAACGAATCGATTGTCTTAGGCTTACACTGTGGTAATTTACTATATCAATAAGAATTCTGGTAGATAGTGGCGTTTTCATATAACATGCGTTTACCTGCCGCTTTCCTGGTGGGCATTTTGGTCCTAGTCTCCTGCACATACTGCTCGAAGTCGAATCGATAGGGCTTCTGCGTCCCCATCGTACCCAGCGTGATAGGTTCCATTAGAGATGAAAGCACATCCATGTTCTCGAAGATCGCCTTGGCAACTACAAGAACACGAATGAGAGAAAATGGTTAAGCACCCGTTGCGTTCTATTTCGAAGCTTCGTATAACGAAGTTTTTGTAAAGGAGAAATCAAAATTACTCGAGCCGAATATACTAACAAGCCTCATTATTTATGCAAGCATTATTTAGTACTAAGCAAAGTGTAACAATGCTTTCAAATACTTTTTATCGATGCTTTTTATAACCGGCGCTCTAATGGCCGAAAATAAATAAATAAACAAAAAAGCAATAAAAACTTTAAAGAATATAAGTTAAACGTTTACGAATTTCTTTATGCCCATAGTTTATATAAGTTGCATTTAAGAGGTTACGTTTTTAACTCCGAGACTATTATACATATGAGACTATATAAGCTACATCTAATAACTAGCTTATATAGTCTCTTATGTATATAGTCGGTATTATGCGTAATATGACCATACTTAGAAAAATTAACCCAATCATCAAACACTAAATAAATGTTAGTGTCCATTTCCTCGACTTAAATCAAGTTTGCAAAGCGCATGTTACAAAAATGCTGGTAGCTAAACGTGCGCAGAATCGTATTTTGCCTTTCTCCGGTTGCTATAAAATTTCGTATGGCGTTGCAAACTTCAATCTAAACGCAACTTGCTCTGTACTAGGTCAATGCCGCTGTATGTATGGCATACTAATACGTATAATAGATGTTTTAAATTGAATCGTTGAACAAATATGTTACATGTTGTCAAGACGTAACATTGCATTGTAAATACTCTTTTCGAACAATCCTTACGAGTATAGATGTTCCATGGTTAGTCTTTAAATTAAGTAATTTTATGTATTTTCCAATAATAACATCGATTATATAAATATAAAAATATTTTGGTCATAATGTTTTTACCATAGATTAATAGTGTTTGTTTAAATTGTTTAACGGAACAATGGCTTTGACACCGTGACAAATCATCATCTATTGTAATTATGCCTACTTTCAAACTTTCTACGAGGCATTTTAATTTTCAGAGTCAATGTCTTTTGTTTCAATATCAGTTCTATGGATGTAGGTATTGTAACAACAACGCGGATATTTTATCAGTATCACACTTTTTACTTATGGCACTTTTCGTATATACATATATGTAAGTAATTACCTACATTGGGTGCATGTGTATTTTCTTCCATCCAATTTTAATTCAAGGACGTCAACGTAACGTCACCATTCCATTTAATATTTTTGAAAAAATGGCATCGCTGAGAGAAGATACATATTTAGATGTATTATAATGACTATGATCTGACATTATTGAAGACTAACTTTCCCCTCGAATTTCTTTTCACGTTAATATTTTTTTTCAATTACAATGTCTCTCAAAAAATAAAAATATAGCTCTTGAGAGAACATAGTACGGCGTCGATTATTTTTAACTTTTTACTGAGGAATCCGAAAAACTATAACACAATATTATGATTGAAATATAAGGACATCATTAGATAAGGCGTCCACTAGGACGCCTCACCTAGACTCGATATTTATGTAAAGTAGACTACTTATTTACATGAATATCGAGTCGGTTAGTACCAATTAGTACTAAACACAAAATAAGCAATCACACTTTGCTACTACACTGTTACATATAAATTTAATAGTTTTTTCGCATATAAAGATTTTTCCATATAAGTTACCTATGTATTTTCGTGCGGTTTGACGGAAATGACGGAAATAATGTTACAAATTAACGTTTTTAAAACTTCTTACATGAGCAAACTTCATCATGATGTTTTCGCTTAGTATGTGATAAATAAACTATAAGTTTAAAAAATAATTCCTGGATTCGTATGCAGGTACATGGAGTATAGGTTATTAAGATGCAACACTGATCTGCCATTTCTGAACAAATGTTACGTACCATATTCGTAGTCCTTGCTGCGGTAAACGAGTTTCGACAAATCCATGTTATTACGGATGCGGTCCATCTTTCTGGTTATGTTCTGCAGGTTCTCTTTAAGCTTTGGCGGAACCGACTTGTCCAGTTCGTTGATGGTGTATTCCAATTGACCTGAACAAGATTTCAGTTTATTTAATTAAATCGCAATCTATTATGGACTTATGTAAGTACGAAACAGCATGTTTGTCTTATGCCTAATCTTAATAATGTAGACAGCTAACTAATCTTGACCCGTCTCACAAGTTAAGTCTTCTCAATGTGAAGAAGTCTTAAAAGGAACAGGTGGTGAGCCTGTCACCATACATATACATACATATATGAGGCAAACATAAGTATTTCACGGTGATTTTTACCACACATAATTATTTAAAAAATGGATGACTTTTGATAAACGCTATCGGTTCAGATGCCCTGACTTTTGACAGCAAGTCTAAGTCCCTGCCACAACTACATTTTATAATTTAATCACGTCGAATGAAATAAAATTAATTTCCGTTTCACTAAATATTGTTACTCAGTAGTAAATCCTTCCTTATGATTCCTATGATATGTTTTGACTTTTACTTAGAATAGGTAACTCATGCACTTCACCTCTGGCTAAACCCAAAGCGATGAACCATTCTGGATCCTTCGAGGTTTTCTTCTCGTAATATTCCAGCAGCTTGTCCAAATTTAAAGACACCCTGTACACTTTAGGAATGTTGTAGATGAAATCCTGTGTGTCGAAATACGGGTAAATCGCTGAGACGGAATTTACCAGAAGCGTTATGGTAACGAACTCTCTTAGTTGCATTTTGCGAGAAACTGACCGCATCGGGGGACGTGGTACTGCGTCGTGAGGCACGAAAAATGGGCCACACGTTTAGCACCGATTGGCAGAAATCAGTGTACCGATAAAATAACGTACAGATTACGAAGCCAATAAAGCCTAACTCCTATACAAATAAGGTAATGTAAGTAACAAAGTTGGTTACCAAAACTGGCCAAGTGCGAGTCAGTCTCGCGCACGAAGGGTTCCGTACCATTATAATTTTTTTTTTCTCTGTTTAATTTATTGTTATAGTGGCAATAGACATACATCATCTGTAAAATTTTCAGCTGTCTAGAGCTGAAATTTAGACAGACAGACAGATAGACAGACAGCGGAGTCTTAGTAATAGGGGTCCCATTTTTTCTTTGGGTACGAAACCCTAAGAATTAGCTAGGTCTTGATTATGATTAGGCGTTGTGTTTTAACTTTTTATTTTGTTCTATTTTCCTAAAAAAGTACATTACTCCTACTGAAGAATAAATAATTATTCTGGGGTCGAAAATCCATAAGCATTTCACAAGCAAAAGATGATCATTGACATCTCCAAAAATCCGGAAACATTATTCGCACCTCACTTCGGCGGATATTGATTCGATCTGACGATACTGTAGATTATAGCGGTAGTCGTGGTATATACGAGTATAGCCGTGGGTGATAAAAAACTTGCATTGATTGAGTGAGTCTTATTAACCATGCTTTTTATCGTGACTGACCTTAATATTTATAACTTGAACAAACTTGTTCGATACACCTGCCAAATTCATCTAATGAAACTTACAGACTAATGTAATACTTGCACATCTCAATTAGTAATTGCCTCATGCGTAAAGCAATGTAGTGGAGCAATGCGCCAGCGTCCGTCTAATTGTAATACAAAATTTCAAGGTAAGAGATGATAGCCTTTTACCAACCTAGTCCGTTTACCACCCAAGAAAGGCCAGGCAGCATGTTTCCTGTTGCATAAATGGGCAGCCTCGTCCGGAGAAGTACCACGGCTTCACAGAGAACCGGCGTGAAGTGGAAGTGTTATATGAACTGCGTTTCGTCTGATGGGTGAAATAACTGGGGCCCACTTGTTGGCGCTGGCAACACTGTATACCGGATATGACGTTATCTGCTCGAGCCAAGGGACACATGGTGGCATGGAGCAGTGGTCACTTGGATTTCGGCTGCGTTCCCGGACGGTGATATAACCACTAGTGCTGCTTGTCGTTATAATAGTTGTTAATATTCAAGTTCAGTAATAATTAAAATATTAGGATCAAGGTAAAAACGTTAGAACTCTTATACACTTTATGAACAGGAAGCGAGGTATCTGGAAACGCTAGAGCTGTTGCAGGTTTCCATTGGCAGTGGTTACCACTTAACATCAGATGAACCATTACCTCGCTTGCCACTTTCTTATATAAATAAAGGTCACCATTTACTATCTGCTCACATGCATGAATTTATTTCACTCGCGACAAATCGTAAAGTCAGCCACTAGATTCGAACACCAAACTAACAATTTGCGTAATATATTTATGTAAGTGTACATCATGGACTAATCTGTTATTGACTTTCATATATAAGACTAGACCTTACACGTATTACTTATATATCTATTACTTATATTATAAACCATATATATGTTATATATACCATATACATTTTGCAATTACAACGTTCTAAAGTTTCTCCTCTAACAAAAGCCTAGTGCGCCTGGCATAATTAACCTAGTTAGTTTTATAACAGTCCGCAATTACTCTTGCATTTGTTTTCAGACATGTATGTTTGAAGTTTTGTTTTATTTTATGATATGTAATTGTTTTTGTATTTATAAAACTACTTATTCAATACCAATTTTCTTTATTTTTATTTTCATCGTTCATTCTCAATATTAAAAGCAACAATTACCCAATAACAATATTAAAAAAGAAATAGAAAAATAAATTAATATCCAATCATTATATTGTCAGATACAGTAGTTAGTAATGCATAAAAAAAACTTTGTGTGTACTTATGTACGTACGGAAGTAGTTATATTTATTTAATGTAACAAAATAAAAATAACTAAACATTTTTTTCCCTGTGCTTGTACTCTTAGCTTGTAAAAAAGATGTTAAATGCAATTGACAATGGTTATGCTAAACGCTTCATGTACTTACTAGGCTACTTTCAATCTCCGTTTGAATATGAAGAGGTCGTCGCCAAAAATATCCAGCTAAGAATGTTCCAGAACCAGGTAGTTATAATTGCGGTTATTTTTAGATAGAGGTTTATTGTAATAGTAATTCAGTATTCAAGTTACCTCTCAGAAATTTATTAAACGTTAACATGTTAATCATCAGTCTGCGGTTTTGTAAATTAAAAATACCAAAATAGGCACATCTTTCTGTATAAGATGTGAGAATATGCTTCATCCCCAGGCAAAATAAAAGAGTTGAAAATGCCTTGAATATTTCGAGACGATTTATATGCAGTTTTTATTACACCATGTCGTGATTGCATACAAACTTCTCTTCAAACGTATGCAATCCTTATTTCTATTAATACTCCGAGACACTGGTAACTTACTTACGAACGTATTAATTTTTATGTAAAATTTGACGTTTTATAAGAACGCGTCTATGTGAAGAAAGATATTTTGAATTTGAATTTGAAACATTTTTAAATCATCCGCAATTTATTGCTAAATTGTTATTGGTTTTCATGGTTATATCTTGAATTTGGTTGCAAAATTCATCATGTTGCTTTTTCGGGGTTGGTCTACGCGCGCATCCAGTTTTCTGTCTTATTTTTTCGAAATCCAATTAAATATATATATATTGTATGTAAATGACTATTCCTTCATAATATTTAATGATGAGTAACATTATAAAAAAAATATTAATTCTATCATATATGCAGCGTGTCGTTACCACCGCGACAATAAATGAACACACGTGTAACTTACTACTTGCCAATAATATTAAAAAATATTAATGTTAAAAAAATCCATAATTTAATAAAATTATTTTCAAAAAAACTAATTAACTAAAAGAGAAACAAAATTTGTAACATCCTATAGAAATACAACTGACTGATTCATACATTCAGAGACTTTTTCATTCGTTGCCACAATGTCGCATTACTAGCCTCTAACAGTATGTTTTGTCTCTTTTAAATTCATTCAACCCATTCATATGGCTTTTTACGTAAGGATGTTCTAAAATTCTTTGTTTTGGAAAATTTAATAACTCGGTAAATGTTGATATTTAAAGAATGTAAATGTATAATACAATTTTAAAAAGTTATAATAAATAATAATAATAATAATAAATAAACATTTCGGACACATTTTTACACAAAGTTTTCTAGTCCCAAACTAAGCAACGCTTGTACTATGGGTACTAGAAAACTGATAAACTTACTTAAACATACTTTTCTTTTGTAAATAAATACATATTATACATGTATAAACACCCAGACACTGGAAAAACACGATGTTCATCGCACAATATTTTTCCAGTAGTGGGGTTCGAACCCACACCCTCTAGCGCAGGAGACAGGGTCACTACTCCCCACGCCAATTGGGTCGTTCTATGTGTGTGTCCTTATCCTCTATATGTGTGTTCATTTATTGTCGCGATTGTAGAGACACTGTATAAAAATTGATTGCTGTTCGTTAGTCTCGCTAAAACTCGAGAACGACCGGACCGAGTTGGCTAATTTTGGTTTTGAAATATTTGTGGCAGTTCAGGGAAGGTTTAAACGATGAGGAATTATGGGAAATTATATGGAAAATCGAAATAGCAACAATATTATTTTCCCATACAAAGTGTACACAGGTCTGGGTCAGCTAGTGAGCAATACATTAAACTGGTGATATCTGTGTATTGAGAAATTATAAAATCTATTACCTAAGAACGGTTGATAAGGCTCCATCAGTGCAACGAATCACTGAAGTGATTGGCCAAAAAGTAATATTTCTCGGCTTATATTAAATATCATCATTATTGAAGAATAGTAATATTATTATAATGAGAGTTACAACGTACTGGCGAGACATTTTCAAGATCCTCGAAGCAAATGAAATCTCAATAAAGTTGAGTACGAGATTACATCAACTCATTAGGAGCATTCACTAAGTTCAATATGTTTCACGGATTACAAAACGCTAACACTCAGCAGACAATTGAAAGTTGTACTCGACAGTAGTGTACGTATTAAAGTTCGTGTCGCACGTAACATTGCGACTTAGGGGGGTGGTCTAAGCTCCTCCAGCAAGGCATGCGCATTCTGGCGTTAGATCTTGTGAAGGACAGCTGTCGCCAAGTCCCTACCAGCGTCGACGTTGCTGTTAACAAGGAATCTTCGAAAAACAGCCGTTGACTGTTAAGAAACGAGTGAAGTGTGAATGCTTACGGTGGAATGGCGGTGTCTCATCAGTGGTTCATTCAGTGGTCGTCGCCCTCTATAATCTTCGCGGATATAACGCGGCAGTATCAGGGAGTGAACAACGCGTTCGACGGCTACGAGGCGGCGCGGCGGAGCGGAATTAACCCTCTGGAAGCGGGAGCTAGAGCGCCGAACGGTTTTACCCATAGTCGACAGTCATATAATCGGCGGAGGCTCACGACGCACCGCGACTTTGCAAAACAGCGAACATCTGATATTTACGGTAAGACCTTAATTTCTTACCTCATCAACGGGAGTGCCATTTATTAAGTGAGATGTTTTATTAAAATTAAAATTTATAGACAAAACATGATGAGATGTTTGATTATATATTTGAATCCAATTGCCCGCCTAGCGAGATATTATTACTCTCCCACATCATATGCACTCTAGTTTTGAAGAAAAATTGGATAAGCTTTTAATATCTACAAATTGCTTCCTTTCATTTCTACCTGTTACGCTAAAATTAAAAATGTCTTATTTTTTTATATTATAACCTGTAAGATGTCATTCCTAGTGAAAGATTCATTAATTACTTCATTAAAGAATAACCTATAAATGCTCACGATGTTTTTTTTTTTATGTAAGAAGATAGCAAGAATGCTGATAATTCACCTGATGTTATGTGATGACCGCAGCCCATGGACATTTTCATCGCGTATAGGGTTGCGATACATGTAGAGATAAGCATAACAATATGGTACATTTGTTTACGTACCTTTACTGTACCCGACATTAGTAGCTTTTACTGCAGGACGAGATTATCTTGTGTTTTAGTATTAGTAATCGTGTTTTAAAAACGTAAATAGTACACGAAAGAGCACTAAGATATTAAATAACATATAATATGCAATTTTAGACTTACACCGGATGGGAGACATCTTATAAACCGCGCAAATTGAGTTATGGATTGGGTCAGTTTCTAGTCAAGTTTTATTTTCCACGTGTTCACGAGGACATGTGAGATGTTGGTCTGTGAAGATAACAAAAATGGTGTTTTTTTTTTATTTAGTAACGCTATTATTCGATTATCAAGTTTACCGTTTCTAAAGTCAAGCTCGTCGATAGTAAATTGATTGTCCCTGGGTAATTGACGTAATTCCCAACTCACGCAGTTGTGATGTCCGCTCAATAATTGTTATAATCTCGTTTTATATAATTACACACAAGATATTAAGTATCTTAAGCTAAATTGGACAATCCATGCGCTTGTTTCGGACATGATTGTGATTAACCACCGATTAGTAAGTTTTATATCATAACTCTTTAAGAGTTATGAAAAACATTCATAACTTTTTTCGTAATAGCTTTTTTCTTCTTTCATTACTGATTCACACAATAACTTCTTTTATTTACGCGAATATTATACATTTTTATAAGTCCCCGTTCAAGTTCGACTGCTTGACAGTCCGTGACTACGACTCTTGTGAAGCATTCTAAACATCGGGTGTTAATTTAAAAAAAAATTACTTTTGAGAAATAATATAAACAAGTGTTCGTCAAGTGGCCATCTTATGAGGAAAGTCTTTTATATACCAGTATTTTTATACACCAGTAACACTCACCCAGATTATGGTTTAGCCACAAACCCAATACGAATACTAAACTTGACGGCTGCAAACGACAAATTCTCTTAATGCTGTATTGCGGGTATGCTCAAATTATACGAGATAGGAAGAAACCTTGATGAGTCTGTTTGCAATTGTTACTTGAGAAAAATTAGAACGCAATTATCTTACAAAAACATTTAACAACTCTGTTACTTTAATTGTGGTTTCATTAAAGTTTATTTAACAATTTAAGTTTATCCAATAGAAAGTTATTCTGGTACTGTCTGATACAAGTGTTACGACATACGCGTAAAATTACTAATAAAAGTGTTATGCACATAATGCGTACATGTACTTATACACTAACGCTAGATGAAGATGGCTATGCAGACATAACCGATTAACCGATTCTAGCATTCCTGTGTCTCTGCCACATCCAAATGTACGCATACTTCCACGTCTGTTGATTATGTAGCGTAGAGATTAAGAGGACAATCTTACATGGGGATAAGTTAAAAAAGGGCCAACGGTAAGTAGTGAATAACAGGTTAAACACCCGCTAGCTTAGCAAAAGGTGTATGATTTTATATATCTACCTTTGAGTTGAATTTTAGTAACATGTAGTAACTACTGCCGTACCTCTAACAATTTAACGCTTTTCGACGAACATGTTTTATACACAAAGATTGTTCCCCTTACCTCATTGTCCATGTTTGCGATAAGAAATTTGCATGAAATTTCGTAAAGTAAATTTTTAACTTCAACTTAATATGTTGCCTTTTTTCTAAAACAACGGAAGTTACACTGGTAAGTGAACACAGGAAGAAAGTATCTATAAAATTAAATACAATAAAGTATTTTTTTTACTAAAAGCATTTCAATTTCTTCGTATTGTAGATAATATAAACTGTCACATAGAGGGATAAGCCGAGATCAAGGATTAAGATTTGCCTCCAATTTTTGCAAAGTTCCTCGCCCCTTCTACTTTTCATACACACATTCAAGACGTTATGCATTTAAGCATCAAAATGGGCAAGCGGGTCTATAGCTTAAAGACGCTTTTTGTTCACTAGATGAGATCTATGTCAATAGACCAAGCCAGTATATTCACAGTTGCTTTTAAGTACGCGAATTGATTTAGTATTAATACGGTTAATTGACCACTATCGGTTTCATTAACGTACTAAGATTTTATAGCAAAAGATGAAAAAATAGGAACAAATATATTCCGTCCGCATTTAGCGGTTTTATAACTGAAATAACACAGGCAAAGAGCGGTTATTTTAACGATACTCGTGAGCGATAATAATCGTTTGCGGTGTTTTAACAGTATAGGCATCGTTTGGTCCACGCGTTCGCCTATTGAGGTATTGGTGAAAGCGACGCCAAATAAGGCCTACGCTACACCACGGTAGTCTTAGCGCTAATTTGGTTTGTTATGTTTGAGTACGTTTCTCTAACATGGTTATAAATGGACAAGGTTATAAAAAACTACGGACGAAAATACATAATACCCCAGAAATAAATACTCTAAACTAAACACTGAAGCGACATTGCATGTACATAATCAAGAAAATCGTAAAAAGACATACACATACAAATTGTTTGCCGTTTCTCCAAAATATCTCAAAATATATATATATTTATCATAGTCAGGACGAAACCTTAACAGATCATGTCTTAAGAGATTAGTTCAGAAATTCCACCCGAAAATTCTAATTTCATTTAAAAAAGTATGACGCGAAGTGCATCGATAAGTCAACAAAGGACACTATAAGAAAAAGTATTTGCGTAATAATTAAGAAATCTAGGATACAATATATCTGATTTAAAAATATATTTTATATATTTTTTTCCTTCTATGCTGAAACCGAATATAAATATTAATACTGTTCATTCATTTTAAAATATATGTATATATGGAATATTGTTCAACCTTCAAATATACGCAGCAAACTTATTACATACTTGTAAAGTCTTGAAACCGTTTCTAGAGAACGTGAAAGTTAATTTAATAAAAATATACATACATACCAATCGTAAATAGAAAACATTATAGCTGCTGAATTCTTAGTGTAGCGAGTACTTTAACTCTAGTTCGATAGCTCTAATAAATATCTAGTAGCACTTTTTAGGTCAGTGAGCACCTAATACCGTGTTGTTTGACGATTTAAAATGTTTAATTCCCTTGCTCACATTTTACTGAATGTTGAAGGATAGCTTCAACAGCAGTATGACCTCATCTTAAAATATTTGCTTGTACGAAAGCCACATATCGAGAACTTGCACGAATTATGAGATAATCTGGGAATTAACATCTACGTCGAGTAGTTTTCTGATTCAAATGCTCTCGAAAACCCCAATAAAAGCAATCACTTTTGACACACACCGCAATAAAAACAATTGTAATTAATACAAAAATAAAAACAAAACATCCCTAAATAAATCTTTAAGGTTGGTTTTGCCGTAAAGAAAGTACCATCAATCAGAACTTTCATAACAATTTAATTTTGTGTCTAACCTATCTATATTTTATGTTAAATTAAGTACAAATTCAAAGTACTCGAAAGAAAAATACTATAATACGTCCTGTCAGTGTCACACCCAAACTATTATTAACGTCTTTTATTTATTTGTCTATTTTCAATACCCTGAACAATAGGCTAATGGTGTTAAAATTTTAATTCGGATATCCAATCCTAGACCCGCACTGTCATAGCACTGTATACCTATGGACACAAAACCATAATGTCATGTTGCCGTGTCTAGCAATCGTATAAAGCAGGTTTGCGATACTTTCTATATAGAGAAACATTTTAACCGCAATCCCATTACTTCAAACTTTTTGAGCATGTAAAAACAAGTCTCCCTATAATCAGTTTGAAATAAACACATATAAGTACTTTGAAACATGAAAAACGTATTTTTGTTAAATAAGAATATTGTAATAGGTAATACCTACGTATTTTATTATCATATTAAACTTCTTTTAATTATTTAAGGGAAAATGTTGTGACATATGTTAAATGATATTTTACTGCGCGATTATATTTATTATTGAAGTTATACTTCTATTCTTTTGGCGCGTTTAGAAAAAAAATAAGACACGAAATTTTTTACGATGCGTGCAAACCAACACCTAAAAAGCGACATGATGAAGTTAGTTGCAAAGTGACTAACTTCGACTAAGTTCACGATGTTACCATAAGGTAAGCTGAGGTGGGCAAAAACAACTTTTTGACACGTATAATTTTATCATTTACTTTGACGTTTCTTCTAGTGATTGAGGCCCGGGAGCAAAGTTTTGTGTGTATTATGTAAATAAATAATTGATGGAAATAATAACTATGAATGTTAGAAAAGCAAAGCTGATACTTTACTTCATTTTTAATTGTTAAAAAAAATATTTTATATACAGATATTTTACATTATCATGTTTTTGTCTGTGGTAGTGTGAATATGTTGGTCAGTGTACGATTAGCCTTGTATACAATTATTTCAGATTTTGCTTTTATTAATATCCAAAAAAAGCTAGGAGAGATTTATAGAAAAATGAAGAAAAAGTTTCTCGCCACTGCGCTGATCGAATCCACGTCTTCCAGACGCTTTAACTACTAAGCTAAACGGCTTATTGCCCCAGCTACGAAAATTTCAACGTATTTTATGTCGAGCGCAATGTGTTTTTATCTAGTGCAATGTACCATCAAAGAACATACATACATACTGCATTCGCCAAGTGCCACTTCAATATTGTAAGTCATTTACTCCTGTCATTTTTTATCTCTTAACCAAGTTCTATTTCTACTTTATACCATGCCAATTTAATGATCTTTTATATTGTGAAACATTGGCTGTCTTGCACAAAAAGAACATTAAATAGAAAATTATAAAAATTAAATCACTGTCATCTCGTTTAATCGCTGTTGTTCTATCATTGTAACTTTTCATCCATACAGGTTTTAAAGTCGTTTTATTCATCATAAAATTGTTACTTTAGATCTCAATTCATTTTAAGTTATTCACGCGTCATTAAATTCTGGATGAAGTAGAACTTCTCTTTATTGAAGTTCTGCTATCAAACAAAAACTTTTTGGAGTATTTTATAGTTTTTCGCAAAATTGATTACATACTTGTCCTCCTTGGAAAATCTCGATCTACATCTTGAAAACCATGCATACGTTTATTGTCATGGTGTAATTATGGGTATTACACTTGTTGAAAAATAATTTCAGATACACCCAACTGAGATCTTTTAATTGAGTCAGAATCCCCTATAGTAACGTCAAGGCAAATTCTAGTGATATCAATAAAGAAAAAAAAGGCTATTACGAAAACGTTGCAACAATGAGACGATGAGATCTACACAACAAGATATTCACGAGTCTGTTCAAGATACTGACCCTACCAGGGTCTAGAAATTTTAAACGCTTTAGTTGAGTCTAGTAAGAGTTGGGAAATTATGCCAAAACTTTTCTATTCAAGTTATCGATCTCAATCAGCTAACAACATTTTCCCCCTTCGTCTTGCATGGATAATTTAGCAAAAGCTAACACTAAGCTAACAGATTAGTAGGAAATTATTCTCTGTTTTAGCATCCCTACGAGGACTAAGCTTAAATAACTTGCTCTCGTTCTCTCGTTAATTTGTGCCTACGATTCATATTCGAGTTTGGTGAATGTAATTAGTTTCCGATTTTCCTAAACCGCTCAAGGTCTCAATCCAACTGCAGGAGGAATATTCTTTGTCTTCCTGCTATGTACTGCGTGCTGTTTAATCTTCTTTTTTCAAAGTGAGAAGGTGGCAAGCGAACCGGCCGTTCACCTGTTGATAAATGAGAACCGCCGCCCATAGACGTCCATAAACCTGAAGGGTTGTAGATGCGTTGCCACCTTTTAATAAAGGCACCGGTTACCTCACTTACCAGACGAAACACAAAAGTATAATACTTCTACTTCACGCCGGTCTTCTATGAGGTCGTGGTACTTTGGACGGACCATACCCATTCGTGCAACAGGGAAGACGGTTGCGTGGCCTTACCACATTTAATCACTCCGCTTGTAAAACACTTAATTTAGCGTTTTCAGTATATAAAAGGGGTGTAATATATCCAATGAAAGGTTCCTTTGTTCTTCTATCAATCTTTCGTTTTATGTTTAAATTAAAATTATTCGAATTGCAACGGTCGAGTGGAATGTTTATTGGACATATTTTTTACACTGTTATGTATTTTGAACTTTTTGAAGTATTTGGTTTACAAGAACGTTGATTTGATTGATAAATTTGTTTGAATCTGAAACATACTATGGTATCTGTTTGAAAACCGAATGAAATGACTCATCAGAAACGACGGCTTGGGGACACGAGCCCAGCTCTATATCCGAATGTTATCATATTATGAGTACGTTGATCAAACATGTACATGAAGCGTTGGTGTTCAATTGTATCGTAAAACAAAAGTCGTTCGCCATTATACTACAGGCGTATGCCAAACTACGCGGTCGCCGTGCTATCTTGTGTTGTTGCTTAAAAATTTGACCGTGACAATGTGTGAGTAAAATATCCTTCCAATAACATCTCGTTAGATACAAAATTTATTCTTTATCTACTTAAATTAATAGAGGATATCTAATGTATATTGGAACAAATAACGAAAAGCCTACAAATGCGCATTGGAGTTGAGTGATAGTTTATGTCGTAGAGTTGAACTGTGCCCAGTAGGTAATGTGTAAAGGATAAACCACAAACACACTTTTTAATTTATGATATGGATAGTCTTCTATGGCAGTTGGTGTTTGGAGTCAGAATTTTTGGGTATTTTAAAATTTACCGCTGACTAAATCTTTGCTTAATCTCTCGTAAAATACATAAATCACAACTAGATATGTTGTTTTCCTCTGAAAAGGCACGGATTGAAAATCAGTTCAAACGTAAAGCGCCTTAAATGTTATTATATACTCCTATCATATAGAAAAAAGCGTCTAAAATGTCAATATTGCTTCCACTTACAATTGTATTATTTTAGATTTGTATGCATAAAATTTTTTTTTTTTAATTTCTTCGAAGAAATATTTTTATTTATTTAGCCTAGCATAGAAATATGCATAATACACGTAATACACATACAAACAAATAATAATAGAAGTGAAATATTTACTCTCAGCCCCTTTGCACTATAAAATTGTGTATTTAACCGAGAATATCCTAGGTACAAATTCTACTTCGTCCATAATTTGCAATGATCTACGCACTACATTTCTACAAATATACCTTGTAATTGTAGCAATTACAAATTTCAAGCAACTAGAAAGTTGATTCTGGTGAATTCTGTTCGATCTGGTCACAAGTCACGATTTAACCGCATAAATTGTAATAGGCAAGCTTAATGTTCTGAATGCTTAGAGCACGATTGAGAAAAGTCAACTTTGATATATCGTATTTGATTGCGCAAAAGCAAAAGCAAAAGCTTAAGTCACTCGGTATAGCTTTCAATTGAGTGTATATGTATTTAATTTCCAGGTCAGATTAATAAATAAAAAAGAAAAAGAATGAAATATTTTTATATATATATATATATATCGGAGCCTAGATATGTGTTTGTGAATTGTATGTTTGTGATTTTCCCTGTAGAGACCTTCTCTCTCTTTTATTCCTGTGTGGAGATTTGTTTAAAAGCGGTTTCTCAAATTGAATATAATCTAAACCCCATCATATCCTAATCATACAAGGTTAGATAATGTTTTGATCAACTTCCCATCACACAATGAGATGACAAAGACAATAATAACGGCACCACAATAAATATTGATATATCATACTGCTCTAAATACTTGCGTTTATACAGTCAAGCAATCGTTGGTCCCCTTCACTATTAATATTTAATGCTTCGTGCAGGTCTTAGAAAGATAAAAGAGACCTGTCCAGAGGCCATAAAACGTCTGAATAATTTTATTTTATATTTGAACGAATTAAATTAAATAAAAATTAATGGTAAAGCTGCGTTTACCATTATATTTCATAGAATGGTAAGTGCAGGTAACTATTCTAATAAATAAGGTATTCCTATTGTTTACGAAGTATACGATTCACTTTAATTTTTTAAGTAACAGAACATACCTGTATTAATGTAGTAAAAAGGTATTTAGTTTTATTCAAACGTTGGCTTAACCCGAAAACTTTGTTTTTTTTTTCGAAATAAGAAAAACCCGTTAATTTTTAAAGCTGGTGGTGTTGTCATCGGCTTAGGAGTACATTGGTATATTTGAGGTTATAGTGTCTTTAGGTTGGCCATGCAAGATACTTTTAAAGCTCTGTGCCTATATCAGATTAAAACCAGACAGTTTAGGTTCGCCACCAAAAATTGACAAAACAAAAAAGGTGCAGGTGTACTCAAAATATTTTCCTTGACCCCGTAGTACGGGATGCTTCAGCTATTAAAAATGCAACTAACGATTCCATACAGTACAGGGATTTGCTCAAGTAAACGAAGTTACAGCTCACAAAAGTCCAGCATGAAGTAAAAGTGTATTTTCCTTCGTTTCGTCTGTTGAGTGAGGTAGCCGGGGCCCACTTTATTAAGTGCCAAGAAATCTGCAACCCTACGGGTGTTGCAAATGTTCGCTTATCACTTAAGGTCAGGTGAACCGCTCGCTTGCCACCTTCTCACAAAAAAATGGTTGAGCCCAATATAATTCAGTTTTTTGTTCGACCGTCCAGATCGTGCCAGATCAGCCGCTGTCACGCTATGGCTGGCGATGATGGGAACCGCCCAGACACAGTCAGTGCCCGCCGACAACGACACGCCGCCCTTCAGCACGCTCTACAAGTGGAAGACGGTGGACTTTGAGTTCCCCAGCATCCAGCATCGACGCCAGGCGCTACTATCCGGGTAGGTCAATAATAAGAGAGCTAGGTACTAAACTCATCATGAGCTCCATAATTGATTACTGAGGTCCGAAATGATTATTTTTTTGTAAGAAGATGGCAAGCGAGCGGGTGGTTCACCCAATGTCAAGTGATAACCGTTTGGATAAGTAGCCCCGGTTACCTCACTCGAACAGATGAAACGAAAAAGTATAACAACTTCCACCTCATGCCGGTCTTTTGTTAAGTCGTGTCAAAATTTTCGATTGATATGAACTTGGTTAAAAGATAACTTCTTAAACTAAATGTTGGTTAATTTATGTTCACATACTCGTAGCTTAGTAACTTAATGGTATCTTGTTGTTCATTCGAAAAATGTCTGTTTTTTTACTGTATTGCAATTTTCTATTAATGATACGTAAAATTTGATCTTTTTCAGGACATATATCCCGTCAAACGTGTTACCTCTAGGTTTAGAGGTATGGGGCTCTAGAATATGGGTGACGCTACCTAGCTGGCGAAAGGGTGTGCCTGCTACGCTTGCTACATTGCCTCGTGGTGGAGGATTAACGTCACCAGCGCTTAAACCTTACCCGAACTGGGGTTACCACAGAGGTTTTAGTAAGTTCCTCAAAACTATTAAAAAGCTTGTGTTATTAGTCTTTTGATAAGTATCAAATTACTTATCAAAAGACTAATAACACAAGCATATATATATATGCACATACTAAACGAGGGGCATGAATGAACCTTCTAAAGGATAACGCAACGCACCGGCAACCCTTCAGTGTCGTAAATGGGCGTTTCGTAATCATTTCATAGCAGATGAAACGACAAATTTTATTTGGTGCCAAAAAAATATTATGATATGAAAAACACAGTAAATGAAGAATACATTACTTTCACTTATACTAAAGAAACAGAAAAGTATTGAACCCGCTGCAAGGCAAGATAAATGTAATGTAGTACGTTTCCTCAATTTCCAGATGAAGAAAACGAGTGTTCAGGATTGACGTCCGTCTTCCGCGTGAACGCTGATCACTGTGGCAGACTGTGGGTACTCGACTCCGGACAGATAAACGCACAAGATAACCCGGAGCAAGTGTGCCCGCCGAGCGTGGTAGTCTTCGATCTAAGGACCGACACCATGATTGCAAGATATCCGATACCCGACGAATACGTGCTGCAGGACTCTTTGTTCTCAAACATTATTGTCGACAGCAGATTCAAGGACTGTTCGGACCTGCACTTATACATAGCCGACACTTGGAGGTTCGGGCTACTGGTTTTTAGAGAGAGCGATCAAAGGTTCTGGAGATTCTCGCACCACCTGTTCTATCCAGATCCGCTAGCCTCCAACTACACGTTGCACGGAATGAACTTCCAATGGGCCGATGGTATTTTCGGCCTCGCTTTAACACCGGTCGACTACCACCGCGAGAGGATACTGTACTTTCACTCTATGTCGAGCTATAGGGAGTTCTACGTGTCAACAAAAGTACTCCGCGAGCCATCGCGCGTGAATGACAGCGCGACGGAATTCAACCTGGTCGGCGAGAGCCGGGGACTGTTTGGGCAGTCCTCGGCCTCGGCTATCGATAGACGCGGAGTTATGTTTTATGGCTTGGTGACAAGGGACAGCATAGGCTGTTGGGACACGAGGAAACCGTACAGCAGGGGCACTACGGGCATAGTGGCCATGAACACGGAGACCATAGTGTTTCCCAATGACATAAAGATCGATCAAGAGGAGAGGCAGAGCGTTTGGGTGATATCAAACAGACTGCCGATGTTCCAAGCGGGCACTTTGAGCGAAGAGGACTACAACTTCCGAATCATGTACGTTGATACCATGGCTGCGGTACAGAACACGGTATGTGATCCGTTGTTCCAGCTCTCTAGCCCTCCGGGCTCGGTGAAGCAGCGCGGTCCGTTGCCATAATATTTTAAATGACTTTCAAATACACAAAATGGTAGTTTTTAATAAATTCTTTACCACACTATAGGTATTTGATTTACATTTCGTTTTTGTATTGCTCAAAATTTTAAAATTTATTATGTTGCTATTTTGAAATAATTATTCTTATTTTACTACAAAATGTAGAATAAATCCTGTGTATTGATATTTTAACGAATTTCGACATACCATTCGTTTTGTCTTAGTTTTGGGAGTGACACAGGGTGCCATGTTATTTCAATATGGTGCCCGCAACATCAATAGAGAAATTTTTGATTATTTGCATGATTTTTCATTATTTGCAATTAAAAAATCTTATTGCATTAAATGCAATCAGATTATTGGACGGGTGGTTATTTGGAACCCCAATTTGTTTTTTTGAGTATTTTAAGAAAACTAATTGACTAACCGCCACAAAACTATCTCTTTATATTTAAAAACTTATTAACTTTTATATTAGAAACTAATTTATAAAATAAAATCTCTCATTATAGGAAAAAAATTGCTTTCTTAGAAAAATAAAAAAAATATGTTCAAAGCTCTGGTGCTGGTATTATGGAACCCGGGTTCCAAATTACAAGTATGAAATAAATTTACATACAAAAATCACAAATATAATAATACTCCGCGTCACACTCTGGGCATTCAATATGTATCCACGACCTACATGATTGGCACTGAATCCAAGTTTCACGCTGTTGATCCTAGGAGTAACTTTCAGAGAAAAATGCAACAAGCGTCATCTTGATTTGTGGGCTGGGCATGCGCGGTAACATTTTCTGACATTAGGGTGTCGCCTGAAGAAACAGAAGATTCAGAATCCGAAGAGGTCGAATGCTCGCTGTTTAAAGGAGTTCTAGAAGACTTTGCAACAGTTTACCCACCACTACGCCCACGAGCTACTCCCCGACCTCTTCCCTGACTTCTTCCTCTCTTCGCTATAGACTAAATTGACTACTCAAGTTGCTGTTTGTAAGGAGACCTGGTCAATAAAGTACTACGGGTAATTTGGAACACGGTTCCATATTAGATTTTGATAATTCTTTTTTTGTTGGAAATGAGATATTCCAAGGGTGGTACCATGATAAGGAAACCCAGATCTGATGATGCCATCCCAGAGAAATCTAGGGCAATCCTCAAATGTTATAGGTGTTGACAATGCTTCTAGTTTCCTGTTTTAAGTCGGTTATTTTTTGTTCAAAATTATATATTCTTTATTTTGGTGTATACATGAAGCAATGTTGCATCTTTTTCTATAATAAAACTTAATGTAATAATTTCTTGTATTTACGCGCAATTCCCGACGTTTCGAACCCTTTACAGCGTTCATGGTCACGGGATTAAAAATAAACGCGATAAATCCGTAAAATTAGTTTCATTTAAAACTTAATGTCTTATAAAATAGCAAGATATAAGAAAACGATTATATAATATCAGGGTGAACAGTTAGAAGCTTATTGTATTTACATTTCGTATTCAAATAATTCAAATGCGTGAAGCATGTTTGCATCCAAAAGCAGTCGTCCCAATGGAGGAGTTTAAAAGACTGCTTCATTCTACTACAGGAAAATCACAATGGATAGCTGATTACACTATTATTCATTAATATCATTGCAAAGCAGAAAATTTAAAAATTACATGATAAAATATAGCTTACTTCATGTGTGCCATCCGGTACAATGTACATATTTGTGCATATAGAATCCAATGGCGAGAGCTTACACCATTTTTCAATTAATAGGCATTCACTAAACGTTATGCGCCTATATATTTTGCTGCAGCAAATCTGTTTATATGACATTTATGTTTTAAAGATAAGTAAACGTTATTGAAACACACATGAAACACACTCGGATGTAAAACCTGTGAAGCCTGTTATTGAAAGGGACGAACAGAGTTTGTGTTTTAGTTTCATTCACGGTATTATACACAGGCATTTCAATCATAGGCAGTGACTCGACAGCGATCGGCTTAGCTCATGCGTCTATTTTTTAATCCTATAGCCTGTAATATAGTCCATGTTTTTTCGGTCACATGTTCGCAGTATAAGGTTATTTGTAAGTCGTGTTATTTATGAGTAATGAATAATTAAAGTGGATTTTATTCACTTTTTTTTAAATTATGTTCACTGCTTAGAAGGTAGCAACGCGTCTAAAACTTCAGAAGTTTTATAAATGTTTATGGTCGGTGGATATCACTACACATCAGGTGAACCGCCCGTTAGCTTGCCACCAAGTCACACAAAAAGAGGCCATTTTAAAACATGATCACAAAAATCCAAAGGCACTACAAAGGCAAAAGTAATTCTATTTTTAAAACTTTAAAATGAGATCTATCAGGTGTTGAGTTTAACAAACAACATATGCATATAATTACACGTATGTGTGTCGTTAAAGTATTTGTGACACGGAAAGGGGGACTTTTTGATTATACTTATTTTTTATTAGATTTATCTACCATACGAAGCCAGGGCAAAATAACTTCTCTCATTACCGTGTGAATGTGATTTAAGTAAACTTTTGCTATTATTCTTACATAGGGGTTTGGTATTCTATTAGAGTTATCGGAGATTACCAGTTCTTTTTCGATTTCTTAATGTCGTAGAGACAGGCAACAGCATCTGTTATACAATAGACAGTGATGGATTTCATCCGTTGGGCGCCCTAGGCCTATACAAGATTGCTTGATTGTTTGTCCCCATACTCGCTGTAAAGAATAAAAAATTAAATGAAGTTTAGGAATAAAAAAGGAAAATGGTACCTACTCATCATGACCGCTTGATTTATTACAATTTTTACGCAATATCTTCTACGCGAAGGAGTGAGAGACGAAAGGATCGACTACTTAAAAAAAATTCCACCAAGTTTTGCCGCCCCTAAATTTTGCCGCTCTACGCCCAGACCTATAGAGAAATCCGCCCCCGACAAAAGATGCACCAGCTCGTCAGTACATTAGCTTTTCGTCTGGTGAGTCAGGAACTGATGAAATAAAACAAAACCTTGAAAGTTGACAACGCTACTGCAACATGAGTTTTGTTTTATAAATTAACAAGCCGCTTAACTTTGACGACCCGAATTGCGTTGTGGGTAGTGTACCTGCCTCCTGCGCCAGAGGGTGTGGGTTTGATCCCCACTAGTGGATAAATATTATGTGATGAACATAGTATTTTTCTAGTGTCTGGGTGTTAATATATGTATAATATGTATTTATTTACAAAAGAAAAGTATGTTAAAGTATGTTTATTAGTTTTCTATTACCCATAGTACAAGCTTTGCTTAGTTTGGGACTAGAGAATGTAGTGTAAAAATGTGTCCTAAAATATTTATTTATTTATTTAACTAAAGCTGCTCTGCGCCTAACTACCATCTCCCCTGACGGTAAGTAAAGACGTAATCTTAGATGCAAACGAACTAGCTCACGCACAGCCTATTATCTTTTGGCCTCCAAGATTACACACATTGTCGAATGGGATAACTGACCCGGGAAACAAATGACTTTTGTTCTTTATATACATACAATACATACATTTAACTACTTCTGTTTTCATGCAATTGAGCAGACGATTCACTTGATATTAAGAACGGTTTGTATAAAACCATTCTTAATTTACAATAAAACATTAATTACATAAACTCTTATTTTAATAACAACTTTGAAAAAGAATAAGATTTCCTTTTTTTTTCTCTTTTACGGTATGCTATCAGAACTCAGCGTGAAGTAGGCATAAGCAGAAACCCTATTAACTTCTTACGCTAGGCTATCATGTAACATAGTTACATATTTAATACTGTGAATACATCATAAGAATGAAAGTGCATTACATAAATTAGGCGATCAGACGCTTACTTGTAATTATAATGTATGTTTAAAATTATAATCTGGCAAGTCTTTTAACTGGGGTAGACAGAAATGACTTGGCCTTGTTTAGTCCCAAACCGTATCGGCTCATAACGAACACAAAATATGTAAGTAGGAAATAAATCGGAAAAACGAAAAACTCGTTGGTACACGCCACTAACATTTCAACCTTTGCTAATTACATTTAATCGTATTTTCAAATATAGATAAATATATACATATTCACTAACAATAACGCACCGAAGTTGCTTGTGGACTTGCATTTTCTTTTCGTCACCACACGTTTCACACTTTAAATTATAAGCATTACACCCGAGAGAAATATTAAAAAAAAAGCAAATTTATTTTAAGGTCGACGGTAAAAAAGTACCGTATGAAGTACTGCATCAATAAAAACGTAATTTTAAACAATTCAACTTTCAATCATAATGGAACCACGCAATGAGTCAAACCTCTGTATGACTCCATTTCGTCCCGTTGCGGAATTTATATCGAAATATACGTTCAAATTATGAAACCGTTATTAATCTGCAACCTAAAACCTATTAATTAGAATCCGTATGCTACGCAGGGTTTATGATTTGTACACCTATTCTTCAATTTTTAAATGAACAACACGAAATTCGAAAACAACAAACAGCACCTGCTTATGCTAATCTATATTTACAATAAAAAAAAACAACATTGTCAATTAAAACATTCCGAACGTTGATACTTACTCATGATCCAAATATTTAATGAACGGAACTTCTGTAGGACAACACGTAACCTTGTTGGACGCAACACTATGCTAGGCTTTTGAAGGTCATTAATAGTGAAGCGCCTGGAGGTTTTTACTTCGGAGTTTTGTTTCGGTGAAAGAATTTATATGGCTTAGGTGAGTTTTTGTTTTGTATACTATAAGTTGCAAAATCTACCTAGTGCTTTATTTTTTTATATTTAAACAAAAAATGAGAACTTTTTAATAATATACTTTTGTTGTATACGTTGAATTTCACCTAAATACAGATATAATAATATCCTTCAGAGATATCAAAGACCCATGTGTATTAAAGACCGTAGGGACCTTGAGCATTTAATAAAACGTGTGAAGGGGGAGGAGGGAAAATATTCCTTTGAAAATTGATCAAGATATTTTTTTTTTTGAATAACATAAATAATAGTCAGTCGGTACCGAATGTTATTTCTACATGCCAAGCGGAAGTGGTGGAGACAAATTAATTGTTGTCACAGCATTAAATTCGGACACAAAATCATTACAATTTCTGAAGAAATTCATATTTTGATTACATTAATGGTATCATAGTACATGATGATTGTAAGATATGTTTTCTAAAACGATAATATAGAGAATATAAAGTACACCTTCTTTTTTTCATGCTTTCATGAGTTTTTTGATAAAGGGAGAATTTAATCTAATACTGAAAATTGTCATGAGTTAAACGAATCATCGAAATTGTTTAAAAATGGCAACAAAATCATCAATGATTTATTTAAAGCAGAAGTAGCATGTGTTTTGAGTTCATATGGAAAAAAACTAAAGGTTTGAATAATTTGAAATTCAATTATTTTATAAAAGCAACAGCCTGTGATAAAAATCTTCTTTCGTCATTATTATTTCCCACAACTTATGCAGCGTTTGAAAATCTAAAAAGTGTGTACCTGCAAATCCAGTTATAGCTAGAAAATTATACATATAAATAAATATTGAAAGTTCGAACCGGGAGGCCTGAACTTGGCTGCCTATATCCTTTAATTAATTAAACGACAAAGAGTTAATTACTTACAAATTTCCGAAAAAACTTTGATATAACTTAAAGTAAAAGAATAAACTAATGTAACGTCTCCTAATTTAATAGAAGTTTCAGAGTTCCTTTGTGAAATATGATATTCACAATACAGAATACCTGGGCCGAATAAAATCATATTAGTTTTGAAGGATTACGTCGATGTTTGCAAGATATGTGCTAGTGATAACATAATTATATTTATTAATGTTATGGGAAGGTTTGAAGACAAGGTGTAGAACTGATATTGTATACATTTGGACATATTTTTGTACCTTGCCCACATGTATAGTATTTAGACCGGTTTAGAAAATAATCCTTTACGCAATATCCGCATATTTATTTAACTTGAAGTAAATTCAATTTGTAACAAATATTTAATTTAAACTATGCTAACATACCTTGTATTTACGCGAATGTGTGCAGTATTATCCAATATAATATATAATTACGGACTTTCTCGTATTTAATTTAAAATTTATTTTGTTGTAAACCGTAAGTATAGATTCCGTGGGGAATGCTTTTAAAAATAATATTAACTCAATAAAATCCGTTAATGTATCGAAAATATCATAACGTTAAGTCATGGTAAATATATTTGCAAGAATTTAAGTTACATGTTATTGAAATTTATTTTGAATTAGACCTTGTAAAGTGAATTTGAAAACAGTATAGTTACATTTTTAAATTACGAAGTGTAACGAAGTAATTGTTGCGAAACTTTTCAAAAAGCCTTGAACTAAAGTAAACAAAATATTGTCTTTTAATAAACTTTACATGTTATGTTTTTCGATGTCTCAGTAGTGCAAGTAATAAAGTAACATAGGGTATATTATTAAAATATGGTGTCCCCGAAATAGTATAGTTAGTATTTTTAATACATCGAGTTTTTTCGTTTCATATAATAATTTATTTATATTTGTCTGTCTACGCTGACCTACGACCACGGCCGGATTTAGGGGAAGGCAACCGGGGCAGCACTAGTTAATAAATTTTTCTTTCATATTTATACTTGGTTTCACGATACATTTTTAGTGGAAAACTCGATTGAAAAAAATTATTCATTTTATTTGGAAAATAATTTGGGGCCAAGGGGCCTCCACTCCTTTGTTGCCCCGAGGCCTCCAGACCTCTAAATCTGGTTCTGCCTACGACTAATCCCTACATATATTTCAACGTCTTATATTAATATATACAAATTTTTGCGCCTATTTCTTGACTGTTTAAACATACAAATGTCGTAGAGCCACGCAGTAGCTTCTGCTCTTGCACGAATGGGCAAGCTGTTCCGAGTAAGTACTAAGTGGAAGTCTGGTGAGTGACCTCATTCACCCGACGATACTTCCACGGTTACCTAACCGCGGCTCTATTTTTAATGGCTTGCAAAGTATCTACATGCCGATGAGTGCCGTATGTGTCTATGGGTGGTAGTAATCACTTATTAAAATAATCACTTATATAGTTAAAGGTGAACTGCATGCTCGCTTACTAACTTTTCTCATAAAAAAAGTTCTGACTTTTTAAAATATTTGAGCTTTGTTCTACACGAATATTACCCTAACATTAATATACTGACAATTTATTCTCTTGCGCACTTACTGGTTAAATTAAGGACAGGCATTTAGCACAAGGACATCGCGTGTGGATTGAAGGCGTATCCTAGTAAAGACATTATCTACTTTAACTCTCGATCTTTTCAATGCTTCTTTTAATCCTCATACAAGCAAAAATGGTGAATATTTCATATGAGGAGAGAGCACCTACACAATTTAAGTAGGTCATTAGATAACAACATTTAGCAACAGTATGTATGACAAGATGACAAAACAAATTCATTAATATTTTATTGTTATATTAAACACTGAAATATGTAACCAGTTGCGATTAATCTCTGAAAGGAATGATGCACATAGTTTGAGCCTGATTTTAAACCAATAATTTTTTACATATCATCATATTATTAACGGCTCGTCCCTGTTTCGCATGTAAAGACTAAATGTGTACATTTAGTCTTTACACCTGGGTCACCAAAATATGTAGGTTTCCTAACGATGTTTTCCCTCGCCACGCGATAAATCAGCACTTAAAATTGCCAATTTCATTGATGCTGGCACTGGAATTTGAACTTAGGTTGCCCTATTATATTTAATTAAAATCGACACTCAGCTACATAAAACATTATTCACATCGCTCTCTTTGACCATAGTTTTCCTAAGTGTTACATAACTATATGTTATATAATTTCGTCAACTAAACATACACAAAAATGTACTATTGCGTAAATTTTATCTAGAACAGGCGGGTGACATTTGAATTAGGAATATTTTTGACTTGAGGAATGTGAAAGTTATTTATGTAATCTTTTTAATCACATATAATTATAAATCTTTGTATTTAGATAATTTAATGATGCAGATGCGAGTTGTGATTAGTATAGATAGCGTTTTTTTTTTATGTGAAAAGGTGCCAAGCGAGCAGACGGTTCACCTGATGGTAAGTGAATACCGCCGCACATGAACATCTGCTACACCCGAGGGTTACAGAGGCGTTGACAACCTTTGAAAATTGGGCTTCGGCTACCTCATTCACCAGACGAAACGCGAAAGTATTTGTCATACTTCCACTTTACGCTGGTCTTCTCTGAGGTCGTGGTACCCTACCCGGACGGGTCTGCATTCCTGCAACAACTGAGGCTGCTGCGTCGCCCTACCACCGTAAAAAATATAGCACATATCCAAACTGAATTTGGATCCTGGCTAATGACATTTTTCGGACGAAGAATTATATTCCATTGCTGGAATTTACCGCTTGACTGCACAGTCTCTATCATGCTATCATGCTCGACCACTCGAGCATGATTAGGAAACCTCGTCCGGAAAAAAACAAGATATTACAGCACAAATAAAGGAAAAATTCTGAAAAATTAAAAAGATAAAAAATTTTGGTACTTACAAGATTTCTCGATAAACTAAATTCGCCCAACCTTTTTATCGTTGATTTTTATACACCTAATAGGAACTATAGACCTCAGTATCTGGTGTAAATTTCAACTTGCTAGGTCTACCTGCTCCTGTGAAAATCGGTGGTGATTATTTAACAATTTTATTATAGCAGTAGGTACGGAACCCTCGGCGTACGAGTTTGACTCGCACTTGAGAGGTTTTTATTTCTAAAAATGAAGAGTAAATCTAATTATCAAGTAAAGTCGAGGCAAAATAAACGTCTTATATTGGTTTCAAAAATATATCGCAACCATTTTAATCGTTTTACAATATTATGTATCCTTTTTTTTTTTTTTTATGTGAGGAAGTGGCAAACGAGTTGACGGTTCACCTGATGTTAAGTGATAACCGCCTGCCCATGGACATTTGCAACACTCGTAGGGTTGCAGATGCGTTGCCACCTCTTAATAATGTGGGCCCTGGCTACCTCACTCACGCTCAACGCAGAAGTGCAACACTTCTACTTTACGCCGGTCTTCTGTGAGGTCATGGTACTAACCCGGACGGACCTGCCCATTCGTGCAACAGCGAACACTGTTGCGTGGCCCTACCACCGTTAAATTTTTTAACCACCGTTAATTCTACTGTACTGTTATAATTACTCGCGCCTGTAAGAAACAAAGAACATTTTCAATTATGTACATTAAAACTAAGCCTCAAAGTGTTAATCAGTATTCTTCGTCCGACCAACGCCCTTAAGTAATTACCTAAATACAAGAACACGCGCTACGAAAAAAATGTTGTTTACAGTATGAGTATTTAAATAAGGAATAAAAGCAACCTATGTTCTGAGCATAATAAAATATCTTTTCAAATATGTCTAATATTCGCGGCGTCATTCAGAATCTCTTTATAATCTTCTCATTTTTTTTTATTTCATAATATACATTTATTTAATAAATCATAACAACGTTTACAATATAAAATTTTACTACATTACATATCATCTAGTAAATCTAGGCCTCGCGACATGGTACCAAAACACTAGCTGCATTTCCTCGCCGAATAGTTATGCTCAAGCTTTGACCGAGAAAGAACCAGCCAGCCCTCTTGTCACCAGCCGCGCCTGACTCGATTTTTCTCTGAACTAGTAAGTGAACGGGGTTTTGATGTTCCCACATGGCACAGATACTCGTCTTAAATATATAGAGTTCCACGTACCGTTCATAGTCGCAACGAAACTATCTACCCGATTGGACATTAGGAGCTGAACATTTTCACTATTTATTAATTTCATATTTTATAATTTTCTTCACAAAGGTATCTTTTTTTTAATTTTTCTTATAATTAGTTCTGTTTTTTCCAGCGGTAAAATATTAAAATTTTCAAAGTACCTGTTAATAATGTTTTAGTTTTCTTATATCATCAGTTTACACCATTATTAAGCATGGTTTTGTTTGTTCTTATTTTCTGTAAGTTTTTTTTTACGACTGGCCACCTGTCTGTCATCAAACCTCCATGGGAACAATAAAGAGCCAGATCTGGAATGATTATCTGTGGGTCATACGGCGTCGAAGCCTATAGTTATATATAGCTTAGGAACTACACCAAAACCGGCCAAGTGCGAGTCGGACTAGCGCCTATAAAAACGACAAAAAAAATCATGTCCCTTGAATGGTAGCCCTAATTAAATATTTTTTTTGTTTTTTTGTATTTGTTGTTATAGTGGCAACAGCGATACATCATCTGTGAAAATTTCAACTACTAACTATCGCGGTTCATGAGATACAGCCTGTTGACAGACGGACAGAAAGACAGCCGTGTCTTAGTAGGGACCCGTTTTCCCTTTGGACACGTCAACCTAAAAAGCGAATACAGAACTAATTTCAGTAATGCAACAGGGGTCCAAGTCCAAGTAATTTAGTCTTATTTTAACTTATTTTATTTTCATTGCAGATGCGACTCTTACTGCTATTGCTAATTCCGATCGCGTTGACCGCCGGTGACAACAATTATGTGAAGGGACCAGTGGGTACCCTATATAGATGGAAACAGATTGATTTCCAATACCCCAGCGAACAAGAACGTCTAAATGCGATAGCAAATGGGTAATAGTCTATTTTTGAAAGAACTTGACACCATAGTATAGCTTAATTTTGTTGTGTACCTTAATGTTTTTGTGCAAGTTAAAAATTAATTCCTATGATTATTGATTTAAAAACAGCCATTGTTGCTTCAAAATAGCCTATCCATGTAATAAAAATCCTTTAAGTTGGTTTATCCTTTTATTTTTCTCTTACTACATCTCTAAAACGATAACTACGCACTATGCTACTTATCTAAACAGAAAGACAAAAACAAGTAAAAACCACATTAGCCTATTCATTATTATGGGATTACGATTTATATGTATGTTATTATGATTTGTATTTATTTGTATAAATTGTCGAACAATTTTTCGGCGCTGCCAGAATTTGAACCTATGCCTTCCAAAATTTACACATTTTAAATTATAATGTTAATTTTAATGTCAAATATGAGCACAGAAATAAAAATGAGAAATTTAAGTTCAATAGCATAATTGACTAATGACTCTAATTTTCAAATATTCATTGTAAAAATTTCATTCAAGAAAGTGTATAGCAAACACACTATCTTAATTGTAAAGGAATCACATTAAATGACGCCAAGCATTGCCAGAAATGCAATTAAGACGTCAAGATTTTCGCATGGTGAGGATATCGACAGATTAGCTTAGTGGCTAGAGCGTTTGAACGCGTACTCGGAAGGAGCAAGCACACATTCGAGTCTTGCAGCAGTAAAAAAAAATTCAAAAATTTATCTTGACGTATTAAGTTTCATATCAAATGTTCAGTAGTTCAGATTTTGGTAGGTACTAGACATAGAAATTGATAAATACAAATTTTGCCGCATGAGCGAATCGAATCAATCACACAAAAAATAGGATGGTAACTTAATAAAATAATTCTCATTACACATTTATAGTTTACAATTATTTCAGACAATTCAAGCAATCAAGCGTAATTCCTCTCGGAATCGAACGATGGAAAGACAGAGTTTTTGTGAGTACACCGAGATGGAAAAGGGGAGTGCCCGCGACGCTATCAGCGTTGCCGACCATTGCTGAGGAAGAATCACCACCGCTAGTACCCTACCCTAATTGGGATTGGCATAATGCAGGTCCTTTTTCGAAATCTTATCAATATTTCTAAGGACCATAGAAATGCATTGGTCAACTCCGACCCGAACATGAAACTAACGGAGGTGACTACCGCGGTAAGGCCACGCAACAGTCTTCACATGCATGAATGGGCAGGTCCTGACCTGCGGAAGTACCACGACTTCACAGAAGACTTGCGTGAAATAGAAGCGTCACACTTCTGCGTTTCGTCTGGTGCGTGAGGTAACGGGGGCCATTTCGTTAAAAGGTGGCTACGCATCTGCAACCCTATAGGTGTTGTAAATCCATGGGCGGTGATAATTATTTAATATCAGGTAAACCACTAACACGCTTACCACCTCCTAACACAAAAAAATAAAAAAATAAAATAACGGAGATTTATTACCATGTCGTATCAGTTTGAAACATCGTTTGAATATAGTTACTAAATTAAAATTTTCCTTTAACATTTTAAATACTAGATTTAATATTATAAAAAGTTTCCAAATAAAAAGCTGAAATTATGAATTTTCAGGGAACTGTACTGGATTCACTTCGGTATTTCGCATGAGCGTGGACCACTGCGGTGTGATGTGGGTGCTGGACTCCGGACAGATAGAGGCCTTCGAGACTCCACAACAAATATGCCCCCCAACTTTGTTTGCTATTGACCTAGAAACTGATACAGTCCTCGCAAAGTACCCAATACCGAACGAATTTGTACTCCAAAACTCACTTATTACGAATATCTTGGTAGACTCAAGGGACGCCCGTTGTAGAGATCTGCATGTATACATCGCCGACGCATGGCGATTTGGGCTTATTGTGTTTAGGAACTCCGACGCAGCGTTTTGGAGATTTAGTCATTACACGTTTTATCCAGAACCATTGCTGTCAAACTACACATTACACGGGGTGAATTACCAGTGGTCCGACGGGTTGTTTGGAATGTCTTTGGGAAAATTGCAGCATGGAGACCGGCCTCTTTACTACCACGCCATGTCCAGCTCCTTAGAGTTTGTCGTCAACACCTCCGTGATACGAGATCCCAATCGCGTGGACAACGCAGTGTCCGAATTTAAACTACTGGGTAAGCGGCAAGGACTAAACAGCCAGGTGTCTGCCGCAGCGGTCGACCGTAATGGTATCATGTTCTTCAACCTAATTTCTCGTGACAGTATCGGATGTTGGAATACGAATACAGAGTATAGAGCAAGCAACCGGGATGTCGTGGCCAAAAGCAATGTTTCACTGGTCTTTCCAAATGACCTACGGATAGATCACGAGGTACCACAATTCGTTTGGATGATTACAAACAAACTGCCAATGTACCAATTTAATTTAATCAATCCAAACGAGTACAACTATCGTGTACTTTCTTTAGATCCAGTGAGAGCTATTCAGAATACTGTCTGCCAACGGCAGTTTTAGAAAGTGTCAAGGTATTAGTAGATATGTAATTAGTATTATAATTATTAAAGAGTTTGTAATTGTACTTTAGTTTAATTTACTTGTGAAAATAGGGTCAAGAAAAGTTCGGACCTTCTTGAGATTCGTCATCTTCCTTCGTTATGGAGTAGTTTGATAAATTATTTACATTTTTGTCAATATTTTTTAAGTTTTCTGTTGATTCAGTTTTCACAATATTATTAATTTCCATCTTTTCTAGTTGTGTATCCGGTTCATTTTCATTTTTATTAGTATTTTTTTCAATAAATGGTAAAATACGATCTGATTCATGACTATTTTTTGAGTTATTTAATTCCAAGAACGTGCTTTTCTCACTGAAGATAATAGATTTGTTGCAGGAAAGAGTGTCATTGCTCCCAACAGCTTTACTTTCTGTAGCTCTGGTCATAATTTCACTTTGCTCAATTTTTGGGTGCTGCTGAACATCGGATATTTTCTTCATAAATATCAGGGGATAATCCGTTAAATAAGAAGTTCCTCTTCCTTGAATACTCCTGATTAATTGTGGTGGTTCTGAATTTTCGCTGGACAAGGCGTTGCAATCTAGGGCCAATGATTTATTTTGTATGATCATTGACAGTGAATCGAGAAATTTGGATGAGCTCGTTCCATCCCTGTTTAAATAGGTCGCTATTCGAAGCGACATTGTTACAAATTGTTCCAATATACGATCTGTGTCGCGTGGAATAGCTACATCGCTACGGGCGCAGTCTTCATAAAAACCTACATCTGACTCTGTTCTATTGGAAGTTACAGATATGGGACATAGTATACCAGTCTCCTGGTTTTTACTATTGTCGCTTTCATTCGATGGGACCGCGCGAATCATTTCATTGAATTTGAGATGTGTTTGGGGTTGCGCTGTGGTCATCAAGGTTCTTTCAGCGTATCTGTAACATTATTTTAATATCGGAGATATTTATTGTTTTTACAACTGTTATATAATCAATTTTTAAAATTATAATAAAACCGATTTTAAAAAGTTAAAAAAAAAACAAAATTGTAGTCGGCTGAGAATACTGAAATATGTCTAATTACGACCATTAATTCAATTATGATTATTCATAAGCGAAAAATAGAAAAAAAAATGTTTTAAAAGGCACATGAAGTCTAGGAAGGATAATTTTAAAAAATCTAAAATAAACAGAATGTTCAACCCTGTTAAACACGTACAACAAACTTATTTGAGAAAAAGAATCTCTTATTCATAGATTCGTAGACTTTAGAGCCCACCGTAATTATTTCTACTACTTTTGAATTTCATATAAACTCACAGCCCCGCTTTAATCTTCCGTCGCAACTGTTCTTCACCGAAGAGAGATTTGGTACGGCGCCTACGTACAGCCAATTCGAGACCAAAGTCCCGGTCTGCCGGGGGCATTACCGCTGGAAACGTTTTGAAGGCAGTTGTCATCTTCAAAGTGTGGTAGTAGCTATAGAATATGATAAAACAATAATATAGAAACAGAAAAAGCAGCACACCCTTTTACTTGCTCTCGTACAAGCCATCAACAATATTCCGTCCTGTGTACTAGATAAATAAAAGTTAAGTCGTAAAGTAACAGACTATATAAGTCCCACTGATGAACAAAGGCCTCCACTGTACAGAGCTACTGTATTAGAGCAACAGCCACACGACCCCACTGAGGATAGGCAGATTTCACATTATCTTCGAAATATTTGGTTTTTTTTTATAATTTCGAAAATATGCAGTTTCTTTCACGACCTTTTCATATACCGTTGAACACGAGATAAGGTGGCACTTAACTAAAAATTTCAATGGTGCCGCCACCGGGTTTTGAACGCAGGTTGTTCGATTATCACGAATTAAAAGCGCGCGCCCCGATACAGAGCTATCACGACTTTTACCAGAAAAATATTGGAGAGTAATATAAATTGACGAACTTTGCCCACTTGTTCAGTTCGGAATGAAATATGTAATTTTCAACGGGATGAAAAGTATGTCTCATAGGATTTAGGAAAAAATTAATTCCATAGATTTTCCGCAACATGGTGATTTTTAACTTTTCTGGTCGAAGTAATTATTTTCATTTAGACAGGTACAGGGTGTGAGTTTTAAAAAGGGAACGGAAACTTTTTAATTAATAATAATGCATCAGTGACTCAACTTTTCATCCATTCAGAGCCCTTTCTTAAACTTCCCTTTTTGATACATGTTATGAATATGTATTCGTCAAAAGAAGAAATTAATATTGGTCACAAACAAAGTCCGAAGACCAGTGATTAGCTACTTGTCCTTACATAAACTTAATACAATAACTAATGACCAGTGATTAGCTACTTGTCCTTACATAAACTTAATACAATAACTAATTTATAAAATTATCGTGTCACAATGTTAGTTATCTTGCTCCTCCGAAACGGCTTTACTGATTTTGATTTTGAAATTTTATATGCATATTCTGTAGGTCTGAGTATCGGCTACTATCTATTTTTCATACCCCTAAGTAATAAGGGTGATCTACCCCAAACTTTTTTTTAATTTATATGGCAAAACAACGTTTGCCGGGTCAGCTAGTTACTTAAATAAATTTAATACAATAAAGTACTACAATAACTTCGTATTGTAATAAATATTCAAAGTCGAAGTTAAAATTAAATTCAATATAGAATTGCTTTAAGCTTTTATTGGCCTCAAAAACTACCACCGGCTTACTAATTTGGACCTATCCATAAAAGAATCGACATGAAACTCAGCGGTCTTGTACTCTTTTTTTAACATTTTCTTATATGTTGTCTTAAAACAATACAAGTCCTCTAATGAAACCAGCCGTCTAATATGGAGATTCGGATAATTATACCTGAAAACCAGAAGCCACACATAAAAGGCCGGTGCTATGGTGAAGACCTTCGTTATGAGAAACCTGGCGCATGCTGGTCTACCGGGCCCCAGCAGTACGCAGGTGCCGAGACCCAAAGCCAGGCTAGTTAGTTCACATAGAAGTTTTCTTATTGCTGCTAACAGCAGCCACGGCAGCACTAGCGTAGGACGTTCTTCCTAAATCAGTAATCCAGGTTAGTTTTCCCGTCCGATAATAATGTTAATTCAAGGAAGAGTCAATAGGCCGTTACTGAGCTAGTGCGTTTACCATCTAAGGTTATACTTTACTCACCATCAGGTGAAATAGTAATCAAGAACTTGCCAGTTTAGAAAAAATCACGACCAATAGTGTAGCGTAGGTACCTACATTAAAAAAAATATCCATATTATAGATAAAATAAAAATTTAACTGATCGATGTCTGTACTTGAAAGATATTTGAGGAAACCTATTATTGGGGGCCTTTTATCAACGCAGTAGAAGCCAACACAGTGATTGTTTAAATTTTAGTCTGTTTAACTGTTTTTCTGTGCGTTTGTGCGCGCTAATCTTAGAAACGGCTTATCCGATTTGGGTGCAACTTTGACTAAGGCAATTTAGTAAGCTTCACTTAACATTTAGTATAAGTTTTATTTAAATTTGTTTATAAATAAAAAAGTTATATCAACTTAAATAACCACATTGAAGATTTGTGCGATAAAATGTTATACATATAATAGCTACAGTTGAATTGGTTGAAACTATAGTTAACTATATATTATGGTCTATAAAGTAATCCTGAAAGTAAGTTTATATAAAGTTAAAAAAAATCGGCCAAGTGCGAGTTGGACTCACGCACAAAGGGTTAGGTAGGTACTTTTTAATTACGATATAAATGTAGTACATGCGCGCGGAGCCGCGGGCAAAAAGCTAGTCTTAAATATAATGGTTAGTGAGTACTGACACTATCTGTTAAACTAGCAATAGTTTCATAAGCGTTGATGAATTTCAGTAAGGGTTGGGCAAGGCTAAATTCAAAGGTATGAACGACTGCATTTCACGTTGAATTTCTTCTTCTGCTGCGCAGCTAACATGCTTTGAGGCAAGTACTCTAATTAACGACCATCATCGTAGGGCGATACAAAATTGGAGTTAAACTAGTTAATTGATCCCCGTTTAAGCTGAACAATATTATTTGTAAATCATTCGGCTAAAATAAATGATAACGGTGGGGACTACTCGTGAAATGTTTCATTAGGAGTATTTGAAGCCTAGAAATTATAGAATTAATTAATGAGATAATATAAGAGATGATAAATGTGCAAAAGTGATGATCTAACCAGAAACACTGGATACAACAGCACGATGTAGAATGCTAAGTATACGTAGAGCGTGAAGCACTGCACCAGCATCACTCCAGAGATCATTGTCCTCAGCACACGCTGGACAGACATCGACAATTGCGGTGGCATTTTCATTTGCCACACCTGAACATAGTTTAACATCTAATAGTGCACACCATTAAATACTTATAAACTAATTAAAATAACCACGTAAATAATCCAACATGTTTGCACTGATGTACGTAAAGCGATGAAGATCAATCTACCTTCTTCATCACTCAATTCGTTTTAAACACTCTCTGCCAACAAAGAGAATACGCAGAGAAATAATTTCAACTTTTTGTTTGTACAATCCTTAAACAACTCTGTTGCTTTTATTTATTGCCGAGTGTAAAGTGATAAATTATTTTAGGATAAATAAAAAATGTCAACAGTATGTGGTTATCAGACAATTTTAGACAAGAGCATACTTTGTGTCGTAAGCCCTCTCATTAATTTGATATCTTTTGTAATATTCGTCTCTATCATTACTAGCGCCATATAGGACCAACTGTTTAAAACCAACTGTTTAAAAACGAAAGTGTATAATATACACTTTGACGAATTCTGCATATTATTTAATTTTATGTATTATGCATTTATTTAATCTGCATATTTTTTTTTAATTAAAAACATTGCCCTTACCTTAGTATAACATTGTCCTGTGTTGTAAGGAAGTTTTACAAACATAAATTTCACGCGGACAAACATCCAAATGCGAAACAATTATTTTTGAGTCACACAAATAGTGGTCCCTTGTGGGAATTGAACCCACGACCGACGCCGAAGCTAAAACCTTTGCAACTGCGCCACAGAGTCCTCTATATAAAAAGTGTAGTCGAAATTGGGGCAGCCACTTTTGAAGTTATTTTTGACATGCTATCTTGTTGCGGCTACTGTTAATTATTAATCTTTCGTCGCTAGAGTTGTACGGGTCGGTTCAGGCACCTGTTTTAAATTAGCGTTCACTTTGAACAGCGTGGCGTCGAAGATTGTTCGCACCAGACCGAGCAGGGTCCACAAGCAAACTTCCGCCTGCAAACTCATTCCGACATAAGACATTATGTTCAACATGTTTACCACGGTATACACATGTTACTTTTTAATAATTTGACAATCATTTATGTATTCCTTTTATATTCATTGAAAATTTATTTTATTTGATGTTTTGCGTATATCATATTTAGAGGATATTTTCTTTAGTTTGACATTTGACATATTTATTATACATAGAATTTAAAAAAAAACAACAACAAAGTGTTGCTACTCGCAGACAAAAAAAACTAGAAAAACACATAACTGAACTAAAAAAATATGAATAGTGTAATTAACAAAAAAAGAAATATTGTAGAAAAGTGTAGGGTGCTTGGAGTCAATTGTTAAAATATTTTATGACAGTATATACACTATACTGGTAAAAGTAGTCATAATGGAAATATCTTGTGAGCCCGTGATCAAAGATCCAGTAATGTTTGAAATATCTGAAAATGAAAATGTATAAGAAGAGTTTTAACAAACACGTTTAAGTGAAAAGTATTTTAAAAATTTTACAGTTTATAAAACTACACTACATCGGAATGGTAGCTAAATACGCCTGATGTTAAGAATACGATCTTATCGTAAATACGCGCTATTCATGCCGTGATATTTTTAAGTAAATATACCAGAAAAAGGAAAGAAATGTTTGGCTCTACGAAGATCTGCATCACATGTGTGGGTGTGAACATTTGCATTGTATTGTTAAGTATTTACGACAATTGGGTAACTTATCGTATTAATTGTGACGATATTTTAACGAATATATAATCAAATCGGTATTGAACCGCGATTCTCGCGCGATAGGATAGTTCGCGCAAAATATACCGCGGGCGGTCCGTGACTGGCTATCGCCTGCGCCGCCATCGCTGCGTTCGGAATTTAGTGAGACAGACTGACGAACTTCGACGTGCGAGTGTGTCGTGTGCTTGACGCGCTCCCGAAACCATTTTCGCCGCGTTGAGTTATTCTTGAACGGCGCGCAGTTTACTAGCCGATAAAATAATAACCGCGTCACGGTAATCCCTCCTGTTGGAAATTGTGTAAAGAAATAAACAGACAAGTGTTTCATCAAAACAACGAGAGGTAAACCTTACTTTTTTTCCTTGACACCGGTGTAATTTTAAAACTTTGGGCCCTGATTAATTATAGTTTTCGGATACGAGATCAGTGAGAAGGACCTTGATGCCGTTTAATGTAGGTTGCGTCCTTACCTTGGGCATCATGACCGCATGAGTCGCGAGTTATTTTTGATAATTCTGTAAGCTCGTCTCGTCATAGGACGCAATGTTTATATCAACGCTGACGACGAGAACTCCGAAGCTTGCACATGATCCACCAAAACGCGTATCAACATTATCAATTCAAACTATTGTTTACGAATATTTTTTATTTCACGAATACATTACGTTAACCTACAGTTATCAACTTGCCTTGCCTGACGTTCCACGATCTATTTACCGACTAGTTTGCACAATAAAACATCAAGGAGCATGATAAACTAACATACTCCGTAAGATTTAAAAATATAAATGCTTATTTTCTTCGAATTCTTATACGAATGTATTAAATATACTTATTAAAATTTTGTGTCGAAACATCAATTAAATGTTGACGTATCTATGTGGGAGAGATCATCGACCCACGCGTCTATCTGTGAACTATTTGCCAATTTAAAAAAAACTTATTGTTTTCTTTTCATCTCTCGAACCTTCAAGCTATAGTGATGAATGTTTAGTGATGAATGTTGTGTATGAATGACAAATGTTTTTTAAATTATCATCAAAATAAGATTTCATAAGCAGACTGTGTATTCTTATAAAGCACTTAAGTTTTTCTATTTCTCAAAAACTTCAGGAACGTATAATGTGCATAAGATCATCGTACAGTTCTAGTGTAGTAGCGACTAGCGTTGGCAGGCTCATCTTAAGTGTGTCAATTGTATAAAAATCGAATCTTCGGACATTAATATTTATAAGAGAGACGTGTGAACTAACTCCTTTTGTCTTGGGCTTAAAGTCAAAGTAATGTCATAAGCGAATTATATTAATATATTAGGTCATTTAAATGTTTAATTCATGTCCCGACTTTAGACATGAAAACTATCTCTGATTACGCCACTAGGATCAAAGAATCAGAAGCTTGTTTATATTCATAGGGGCAAGCAGAAGAAGAACTATCGACTCTTGTTTACCGCCTCGTGTTTTAATGTCATGGTTTATCGTAGGGTTATTCTACCGGGTATTCCTCGTTGTGTTTATTAATATTTATTCGCATTATTTATATGTAAAATAGCTTTCACATTTGTATCTGAATGTCTACTAGTTACATTTTTTATAACGTTTAGACACGACTCCATAAGTTATTTCAAAAATAAACAGGATTTAAGAGACGTTGACGAAGAGGTCCAATGACTAACAAAGTTGGTCACATTATATTAAGTATAAACATTGTTTCAATAACATATTGTGTATTTAATTAATATTTTAAGTATTCATCCATTTCAATCCATTTTATTAAATAGCCATTTAAGCAGATATCTCTCCTAAATGACATTTCCTATTAGACTACGAGTACCTACCATTGTCATTAATAACTCGTTAATTTACCGCCATTTTATTTTGCCATTTTATTTTGAACATTATCTCAGACTTGGCGTTCATGCGTTTCAGCTTCGTTCGTCAATGAGAATATTGTCACAAAAATATTTAAAAGCAAATTAAAAAAATGCACATAACTCTATTCTACTATAGGCGAATTCACGCGAATTTCACGCGGACAAACACCCAGATGCGATACAACTATCTGTGGGTCACACAAATAGTTGCCCCGTGTGGGAATCGAACCCATGACCCGCGACGCCGACGCCAATACCTTGGCAACTCCGCTACGGAGTCATCAAATTTAAGAAGTCTTATGGACAGGAACTGTATTAGGTGTTAAAAATTAAATCTAACAAAAAAAATACACAAAGCTACAATGAATACAGTCAGAAAAGTCATACAGTCATATAACAGAACAGAAAAATTATAAGAACATTACAAAAACAAACACGATGGGTAGTGATATAATTATACTTTCACTTTGAGGACACCATTAAGAAATTGTGTATGTGTATTTCAAGTTTGGTGTCATTTCGTAACATAATTACTGAACGCAAATTAGCTGCATGTTTTGCATTCTAATATTTGCATAATCCATCTCAATTCCAACGAGATTCTCAAACTCTAATCTCAGATAAGCATACAATGTAATATAATTAGTTCGTCTGATTTATGTAGCTTTCTGTTAAGTATACGTAACATATTTATTTATATGATAAATAAAATGAACAATTCCAATTACATTGTCAATTCACAATAGATCATAGTAATCTGAGAAAACGGTGTTTACAACGAAAAATATAATAACTAGGCAAAAGCGTAACAGTACCGCTGCCGGTCGGATAACAGTTCAAGCCGTAAGCGGTATCCCTTCTTGTGAGTCCTGAGGTACGTGAGAAAATGTCTACGAACATGTTCGCCATACAAGGAATGACAAGTTGCATGCACTACAGCTCTCAGTAAGCGAAGCAATAGGACATCGGCCACCGTACGATTTCCCGAACTTTCTACACGCCGGCATAAGTAGATGAGCGATACTGTATGGCATTGTTGCCTTTTAGGGATCTTCGCGGTCCATTCTGGTTTTCACCACGAGTGCTAATACGAAAAGAAAACTTATAAACTGGGTTAACGTTCACTAACTTCGTTCAATTTGCGTCCAATTAACATTCTTATGATGCATTGGCGCTTGTCTATCAAAATTAGGAAGCGTATTGAAAGGATTTCAAAATTGATCCATTCTCATCTTTCTCCAAACGCTTTTTTTATTACTGAGAAGGTGGCATGCGAGCTGTTGGTTCACCTAATGTTAAGTGATAAGCGCCGCCCATGGACGTATGCAACACTCATATGGTTCTAGATGCGTTCCCACCTTTTATTAAGTGCGCCTCGGTTACCTCGCTCAACAGGCGAAACGCAGAATTATAGTATAATAATTAATTCCACTTCACGCCGGTCTTCTGTGTAGTCCTGGAACTTTCCCTGACGGAACTGCCCTTACGTACAAAGCGAAGACTTGGCCCTGCCATTGTTAACATTAACTTTAAAGTTGTGCCAAAATAATTAAAAAAAATGTGTTTTTTTAATTTTTTGTTTTCGAAAAAGCGTAACAACTCTAAATGAAAAAGTATGGTGTTGACATAAGAGTTTGTTTTGAAACTAAAATATAGCTTTATCCAAATACACTTTTAAGTGGCCGTCATTTTGGCGTGGTGACGTCATACTGTTTATCAAGGTTTATTTGTCATAGTTTATTTCGAACCTCACGAAAATCGTTTCCTCTCGCAGTAAACAGACTCAAGTTGCATGCACTTACGTTGTATTGTCACTAATGGTGAGTCACTGGAACTTTCATCGAGAGTCAAACCCACGGGTACATCATTGCTCAGCAACCCATTGCATTTGTGACTCATCTCTTGCTTATTGGATTACACGCAATGTACGCGGCCAATGCTGATGTCATCGCAATTAATGAAAATGGTTTCTTTCGCGCCAGGATTAGCGCAACCAATTCTGATAGCGAGCAATGCCATCGAGCTATAACCATAGCATAATTTATGTTTTAGAAAACGACTTCGCAAACACAGATTATTTAAAAAGTTCAATGGAAGCGAATTTGTTTTCGTGAGACGTTTTAAATTTTGCATATTATAATTCATTCGCATTCCACAGTTGCAATCGTGATCATAAATTTGAGCAGCGTCATCGATGGAGAGAGAACTTTTATTTTTGTTACCGTTATGCGAATTAAAATTAATGACATAATTAAATTGGCTTATTTTACGAATAGCTCATAAAATTTCTTTTATATATTTCGTCCAAAATTTACATTACTTGATTTGTTAATTTAAAACTTTTTGTATAACCATTAAGTTTTTGCAATACTCCCAAAGGATTAAAATTTCTTCG